GGACTGTCAAGGTGGGGCAGGGAGATGAACAAGGGGGGAGCCGTGGGGAGTGTCAAGCGGAGGCTGAGAGGTGAGCAAGAAGGGAGCAAAGACGAGTGTCAAGCAGATGCAGGAGGGGGAGCAGGGGGCGGGCAGAGATGAGTGTCAAGGTGAGGCAGGAGTGGGGAGCAGGGGGGAAGCAGAGAGGAGTGTCATAGTGATGCAGGAAGGCGGGCAAGGGGGGAGCTGAGAGGAGTGTCAAGGTGATGCAGGATGGGCGAGCAGGGGGGAAGCAGAGAGGAGTGTCAAGATGAAGCAGGGAGACGGGCAAAGGGGGAGCATAGACGAGTGTCAAGGTGATGCAGGAGGGGGGAGCAAGGGGGAAGGCAGAGAGGAGTGTCAAGGTGATGCAGGAGGGGGGAGCAGGGTGAAAGCAGAGAGGTTTGGAAAGTTTGAACGTTTGGAAGTTTGGCTGAGGGTTTGGAAGTTTGGCTGACGGTTTGGAAGTTTGGCTGAAGGTTTGGAAGTTTGGCAGAAGGTTTGGAAGTTTGGCTGAAGTTTTGGAAGTTTGGCTGAAAGTTTGGAAGTTTGGCTGAAGGTTTGGAAGTTTGGCTGAAGGTTTGGAAGTTTGGCTGAAGGTTTGGAAGTTTGGCTGAAGGTTTGGAAGTTGGCTGAGGTTTGGATGCTGAGGTTTGGAAGTCTGGCTGAAGGTTTGGGAGTTTGGCTGAAGGTTGGAAGTTTGGCTGAAGGTTTGGAAGTTGGCTGAAGTTTGGAAGTTTGGCTGAAGGTTTGGAAGTTTGGCTGAAGGTTTGGAAGTTTGGCTGAAGGTTTGGAAGTCTGGCTGAAGGTTTGGGGAAGTTTGGGCTGAAGGTTTGGAAGTTTGGCTGAAGGTTTGGAAGTTTGGCTGAAGGTTTTGAAGTTTGGCTGAAGGTTTGGAAGTCTGGCTGAAGGTTTGCGAGTTTGGCTGAAGGTTTGGAAGTTCGGCTGAAGGTTTGGAACGTTGGCTGAAGGTTTGTGAGTTTGGCTGAAGGTTTGGAAGTTTGGCTGAAGGTTTGGAAGTCTGGCTGAAGTTTTGGAAGCTTGGCTGAAGGTTTGGGAGATTGGCTGAAGGTTTGGAAGTTTGGCTGAAGGTTTGGAAGTTTGGCTGAAGGTTTGGAAGTTTGGCTGAAGGTTTGGAAGTCTGGCTGAAGGCTTGGAAGTTTGGCTGAGGGTTTGGAGGTCTGGCTGAAGGTTTTGGAGTTTGGCTGAAGGTTGGAAGTTTGGCTGAAGGTTTTGGAAGTTGGCTGAAGGTTTGGAAGTTGGCTGAAGTTTTGGGAGTTGGCTGAAGGTTTGGAAGTTGGCTGAAGGTTTGGAAGTCTGGCTGAAGTTTGGAAGTTTGGCTGAGGTTGGAAGTTTGGCTGAGTTTGGAACTTGGCTGAAGGTTTGGGAGTTTGGCTGAGGTTTGGAGTTTGGCTGAAGGTTTGAAGCTTTGGCTGAAGGTTTGGAAAGTTTGGCTGAGGGTTTGGGGGGAGGTTGGCTGAAGGTTTGGAGTTGGCTGAAGGTTTGGAAGTCTGGCTGAAGTTGAAGTTGGTGGGGAGTCTGGCTGAAGGTTTGGGAGTTTGGCTGAAGGTTTGGAAGTTTGGCTGAAGGTTTAGAAGGTGAAGTTTGGAGTTGGCTGAAGGTTTGAGTTTGGTGAGGTTTGGAAGTTTTGGCTGAAGGTTTGGAAGTTTGGCTGAAGTTTTTGGAAGTCTGGCGAAGTTTTGGAGCTTGGCTGAAGGTTTGGGAAGTTTGGCTGAAAGGTTTGGAAGTTGGCTGAAGGTTGGAGTTGGCTGAGGGTTTGGAGTTGGCTGAAGGTTGGGAGTTTGGCTGAAGGTTTGGAAGTTTGGCTGAAGGTTTGGAAGTCTGGCTGAAGGTTGGAAGTTTGGCTGAGGGTTTTGGAGTCTGGCTGAAGGTTTGGAGTTTGGCTGAAGGTTTGGAAGTTTGGCTGAAGGTTTTTGCTGAAGGTTTGGAGTTGGCTGAAGGTTGGAGTTTTGGCTGAAGTTTGGAAGTTTGGCTGAAGGTTTTGGAAAGTTTGGCTGAAGGTTTGGGAATTGTGGCTGAAGTTTGGAAGTTTGGCTGAGGTTGGAAGATTGGCTGAAGGTTTGGAGGTTTGGAAGTTTGGCTGAGGTTTGGAAGTTGGCTGAAGGTTTGGGAAGTTGGCTGAAGGTTTGGAAGTTTGGCTGAAGGTTTGGAAGTTTGGCTGAAGGTTTGGAAGTTTGGCTGAAGGTTTGGAAGTTGGCTGAGGTTTGGAAGTTGGCTGAAGGTTTGGGAGTTTGGCTGAAGGTTTGGAAGTTGGCTGAAGTTTGGAAGTTGGCTGAAGGTTTGGAGTTGGCTGAAGGTTTGGGAGTTTGGCTGAAGGTTTGGAAGTTTGGCTGAAGGTTTTGGAAGCTGTTGGCTGAAGGTTTGGGAGTTTGGCTGAAGGTTTGGAAGTTTGGCTGAAGGTTTGGAAGTTGGCTGAAGGTTGGAAGTTTGGCTGAGGGTTTGGAGGTCTGGCTGAAGTTTTGGGAAGTTGGCTGAAGGTTTGGGAGTTTGGCTGAAGGTTTGGAAGTTTGGCTGAAGGTTTGGAAGTTTGGCTGAAGGTTTTGGCAAGTTTGGGGGTTTGGAAGGTTTGGCTGAAGGTTTTGGCTGAGGTTTTTGGCTGAAGGTTTGGAGTTGGCTGAAGGTTTGGGAGTTTGGCTGAAGGTTTGGAAGTTTGGCTGAAGGGTTTGGGAGTTGGCTGAAGGTTTGGCGGGTGGCTGAAGGTTTGGAAGTTTGGCTGAAGGTTTGGAAGTTTGGCTGAAGGTTTGGAAGTCTGGCTGAAGTTTGGAAGTTGGCTGAGGTGGAGCTGGCTGAAGGTTTGGGAAGTTGGCTGAAGGTTTGGAAGTTTGGCTGAAGGTTTGGAAGTTTGGCTGAGGTGGTTTGGGAACAGTTGGCCTGAAGGTTTGGGAGTTTGGCTGAAGGTTTGGAAGTTTGGCTGAAGGTTTGGAAGTCTGGCTGAAGGCTTGGAAGTTTGGCTGAGGGTTTGGAGGTCTGGCTGAAGGTTTGGGAGTTTGGCTGAAGGTTTGGAAGTTTGGCTGAAGGTTTGAAGTCCTGGCTGAAGGTTTGGGAGTTTGGCTGAAGGTGGAGTTTGGCTGAGGTTTGGAAGTTGGCTGAATAGGCTAAGGTGTGAGTTGGCTGAGGTTTGGAGTTTGGCTGAAGGTTTGGAAGTTTGGCTGAAGGTTTGGAAGTTTGGCTGAAGGTTGTTCTGGTGGAAGTTTGGCTGAAGGTTTGGGAGTTTGGGCTGAAGTTTGGAAGTTTGGCTGAAGGTTTGGAAGTGGCTGAAGGTTGGAAGCTAAGTTGGCTGAAGGTTTGGGAAGTTTGGCTGAAGGTTTGGAAGTTGGCTGAAGGTTTGGAAGTTGGCTGAAGGGTTGGAAGTTTGGCTGAGGGTTTGGGAAGGTTTGGGCTGAAGGTTTGGGAAGTCTGGCTGAAGGTTTGGAAGTTTGGCTGAAGGGTTTGGAAGTGTTGGCTGAAGGTTTGGGAAGTTTGGCTGAAGGTTTGGAAGTTCTGAACCTGAAGGTTTAGTTTTGGCTGAAGGTTTGGAAGTTTCTGGCTGAAGGTTTGGGAAGTTTGGCTGAAGGTTTGGAAGTTGCTGAAGGTTTTGGGAAGTTTTGGCTGAAGTTTGAGAGTATCTGAAGGTTTGGAAGTTGGCTGAAGGTTGTTGGTGAAGTTTTTTGGCTGAAGGTTTGGAAGTTTGGCTGAAGGTTTGGAGTTTGGCTGAAGGAGTTTGGCGAGTTCTGGCTGAAGGTTTGGAGTTTGGCTGAAGTTTGGAAGTTGGCTGAAGGTTTTGGAAGTTTGGCTGAGGTTTGGAAGTTCTGGGCCTGAAGGTTTGGGAGTTTGGCTGAAGGTTTGGAATTTGGCTGAAGGTTTGGAAGTTTGGCTGAAGGTTTGGGAGTTTGGCTGAAAGGTTTTGGAAGTTTGGCTGAAGTTTGGAAGTTTGGCTGAAGGTTTGGAAGTTCTGGCTGAAGGTTTGGAAGTTTGAAGGTTTGCGAAGTCTTGGGCTGAAGGTTTGGTGAAGGTTTGGCTGAAGGTTTGGAAGTTTGGCTGAAGGTTTTGGGAGTTTGGGCTGAAGGTTTGGAAGTTGGCTGAAGGGTTTGGGAAGTTTGGCTGAAGTGCAGTCTGGTGAAGGGGGTTTGGCTGAAGGTTTGGAAGTTTGGCTGAAGGTTTGGGAGTTTGGCTGAAGGTGAGTTGCTGGGTTTGGAAGTTTGGCTGAAGTGGAGTTTGGCTGAGGTTTGGGTCCTGAAGGTTTGGGTGGCTGAGTTTGGGCTGAAGGTTTGGGAGGGTGAAGTTTGGGAGTGGCTGAAGGTTGGAAGTGGCTGATAGCAGGGGGGAAGCAGAGAGGAGTATCATAGTGATGCAGGAAGGCGGGCAAGGGGGGAGCTGAGAGGAGTGTCAAGGTGATGCAGGATGGGGGAGCAGGGGGGAAGCAGAGAGGAGTGTTAAGATGAGGCAGGGAGATTGGCAAGGGGGGAGCATAGACGAGTGTCAAGGTGGTGCAGGAGGGGGGAGCAGGGGGGAAGCAGAGAGGAGCGTCAAGGTGAGGCAGGAGGGGGAGCAAGGGGGAATGCAGAGTAGAGTGTCAAGGTGATGCAGGAGGGGGGAGCAGGGTGAAAGCAGAGAGGAGTGTCAAGGTGAGGCAGGGAGGTGGGAAATGGGGGAGCATAGACGAGTGTCAAGGTGATGCCGGAGGGGGGAGCAGGGGGGAAGCAGGTAGGAGTGTCAAGGTGAGGCAAGGAGGTGAGTAAGGGGGGAGCTGAGAGGAGTGTCAAGGTGGGCCAAGGAGGTGAGCAAGGGGGAAGCCGAGAGAAGCTCCTAGGTAGGGCAGAGAGGAGCGGCAAGGTGCTGCAGGGAGGTGGGTTAGGTGGGAACCGAGGGGGGAGTCAAGGCATGGGCATCGAGATGTGTTTGAGGCTAGCCTTTTTTGTATGTCAAGGTGGGGCAGGGAGGTAAGAGTTAAGAGAGGTGTGGCGTGTCAAAGAATCTCTCACATGGCCACCCCGTGTCACCCCTATCAAGGCCTGCCCCAAACCCCCGCCCTAACCACCTCTCGATCAATCGCAACCCAGCAGGGGCCAGGCAGCCGCAGACCCAAACAAGGACCATCTGGCAGCAGTGTTGGGCCAGGCGCATGACAAAGCCATGCATGGTGTTTCAAAACACTTGAGGCCAGCAGTCTGTGTCCAGCTAGGTGAACTGTCTGCGCTGATGGGAGGAGCAAAGAAGGCGACAATGGCGGACTTGCTATACTTCTACATGATGAACCCCGATAAGGCGCACCAACGGCTAATGCTTGCCGGCTATAAAGCTGGTAAGCGGGGGTTGTCATGACATGAGTGATGAGCGGTCAAACTTGCTCGCCGTTGCACTGCCATAACCCTTCTTCAACCCCTTGTGCGCCCCTTGACCCACTAAGGTGTGAATGGGGGTGATGCTAGAGCTAAGGCGGAGCAGCACCTCGAGGCTTACGGAAAGCTGTTTGATGCAAGGGCCAAGCATGGATTGGACTCAGCATCCAAAATCATTGACCAAGAGGACCGCCAATTGACAGGGCTCACCTACAACTTTCCCTCTTACGAAGAGGGCACGAAGGGGAAACTACGGCCCGTGCAGGGATGTGGGTGGGGCGGGGCCCGGAGAGGGAAGAAGTATGAGAGTCAGCGTGCAAGAGGTGAGCTAGGGGTGGGGGGCTGCAGACCAGCGCCAGGGCTGTCGTGCAAGCTTGCTCTCCTCCCATGCTCCCATGCTCCCATGCTCCCATGCTCCGGTGCTCCCATCCTCCCATACTCCTATGCTCCCATGCTCCCCTTACTCCCAAGCTCCCATGGGCCCGTGGTCCCATCCTCCCAAGCATCCATGCTCCCCTTACACCCATGCTCAAAGGGGAGCTTGCTTCCATCCTCCCATACTTGGATCCTTCCGTGCTCCCCTGCTCCCATGCTCCCATGCTCCCATGCTCCCATGCTCCCCTGCTCCCCTGCTCCCCTGCTCCCATGCTCCCCTGCTCCCATACTCCCCTGCTCCCCTTCTCCCATGCTCCCCTTACTCCACCCATTGCCCCCATGCTCCCATGCTCCTGTCCTCCCAAGCTCCCATGCTGCGGTGCTGGAAAGCTCCCATGCTCACCATGCTCCCGTGCTCCCATACTCCCATTCAGCCGAGCACCCATGCTCACCATGCTCCAGTGCTCTCGTGCTCCCCATGCTCGCATGCCCAGCATGCTCCCATGGGCCCGTGCTCCCATGCTCCCATGCTCTTGTGCTCCCATGCTCTTGTGCTCCCATGCTCCCAAGCTCACCATGCTCCCATGAGCCTGTGCTCCAATGATCCCATCATCCCATGCCCCCATGCTCCCATGCTCCACTTCTCCCATGCTCCCATCCCATGGGCCCGTGCTCCCATGCTCTCATGCTCCCTTGCTCCCATACTCCCCTGCTCCCATGCTCCCCTGTTCCCATGCTCCCATGCTCCCATGCTCTCGTGCTCCCCATGCTCGCATGCTCAGCATGCTCCCATGTTCCCGTGCTCACATGCTGCCAATGCTCTCGTGCACCCATGCTCCCCTGCTCCCATGCTCGCATGTTCCCGTGCTCCCCTGCTCGCATGCTCCCATGCTCCCGTGCTCCCATGCTCCCTCGCTCACATGCTCCCATGCTTCCCTACACCAGCCTTTGGAGTCTGTGACCCCTTGTGCGTGCGGTGCTTTGCCTTTGAGGGTGGCAGGCCACGGAGAGCAGAACGGGCCCCCACAAGCCGGGGATGCTCCCATCACTGGAGCACAGCCCCCACCGTCGAAGAAAGCCAGCCCGGCAAGCCATGCAACCAGGACTTTTGATGATGCAACGCCACCGACCGAACTGTAAGAGCTATGCTCCTCCGGCTGCTGTATGTCACGGCTATAAGTGTGCTTTCCAAGAGCTGCGACCAACATGTCGCGATGCCCCCGTTGTGCAGGTCGGGCTCAACCAAACGCGCAAAGCGAGCGCGGGCTGTGCCAGTTCCCAGGGGATGGTCAGCAAGCCCCTCCCTTGACGATGTCCCGGAAAACCGGGTATGTCTAATGAAGGCAAAACACGTGCTCACTGAGCTTGCCACCCTGCGAATGTGTTGCCCGGATAAGGCGTGCACGGGAACCATGACTTTGATCTCATAGAATGACGCATGGGCATGCATCGGTTGGTACTGGCACTGCGATAAGTGTACAAAAAGCAAGGAAATGTGGTCCAGTCCAAAAAAGGAACACTTGTCCAGCTTGAGAAAGCCGGGACCACGAACATCCTCGTTCATGTACAAGTTTGTTGGGGCATTTGCCCTTGCTGGACAAGGGTATCAAGTCATGTGGGAAGTCTGTCGAAACCTTGGGTTATGCAACCCAGGGAAGAGTACCTTCTATCGTCTATTACGGGGGAAGGGGGGCTTATGGAATGCCATCACCACAGCTGCTAGCAGGTCGATGGCCAGCGTGCGTGAAAGCCTGTCGCAGCGCTTGGGCGGCGCGGGATTTATCAGTGTCGATGGGAGATGGTCCCAGGCACGGGAAGCGGAGTGGTGCACTGTGTCATTTCTGCATCCAGAGTGTCGGAAGATTCTCCATGTTGAAAACACTAAAAAGTGGGAGCACGACCCTTCCTCTCCCAAGTTGGAGGGTATCGCCTTCAATAACGGCATGGACTTCCTAGCCAGGACCGGGTTTGAGATGGAGGGTATCGTGACTGATGAGAGTGGGACTTTCCGAACCGCCGCAGCAGAGAGAGGGGTTCCGCACCAAGTCGATTGGTGGCATAAGCGGCGTTCGGTGTCGAGGTGTTTTGAGGTCGAAGTGCAGGACTTGCTCAGGCCAGTGATTGCAATCGCTAACTCCGCCCCGCTGTATTTCCGAGGGGTGGGGAGAGGAGAGTGCTATTTATGCAAAGGGGTCAGCAGCACACAAGGCAGTGTCCGCGTGGTTCGAGAAGAGGCTAGGGCCAGCACAGGAGGCGCCTTTCATCCGAGGAGCGAACAGCTCAATCAATGAATCATTTCATTCATTGGTGTGCAAGTATGCTCCGAAACGGTTGCGGTTTCGTGGTAGTATGGTGGCACGAGTTGCATTAGCAGTTTTGCACTGGAACAGTTGTGTGGACCGCCTCGTGAAGGGGTATCGCATACGGGTGAGGCGGGCGACACGGGTTCAACGGGGCTCGGCGGTTCGTATCTTGGGGCCCATGGATTGGTCTTGGGTAGAAGAGATCATGCAGCTGTGGTTGCGGGCGGGTGAGGAGGACCCAGAGGAGGACCCTGAGGAGGCTGACGACGGGGTGGAGGAGGGCGGAGATGAGGCAGCCGGGGATAACTGTCTCACCGAGAACATCCGGGTGGTGCGCCCATGCACCGTTGCTGGACCAGCCGCCTCCGGTGACTCGACGCCTATGAGAGATCTCATGCTGCCTTTCAACCCCGGCTGCATTGACTCCTTCGGATGCAGCAGTGGTATCACAGGGGTTGGCACCCCTACGCCCATCCGAAGAGATGCGCCAGCCCGACGACTCCTCATTGGTTGGTCGAGTGTACCTTTATCGTATTCTGTTTGCCATGCATTTTGCCGCACCATCACACTTCCTCCCATGCACGTCCGCACCTTTGCCACCATTGCGCCCAACCATTCGAGAGTCTAGGATTGTTCTCCAAACTGCTACACTTAAGGCACAATGCCCACTTCCACATGCCCCACCCCTCCCCGCTCCCATGCACAGGGATTGCCGAAGTGCGCTGAATGGTGCGATGCCACCGGGTCACCGTTGCGCCACCATGGCTGATTCAACCCCTGCAGTGGTTGCCACCGGTAAGTAGTAGCCTTGCTACCAAATGCGCTTGCCTAGATGGAGGGCGGGGTGTAGCACAGATGGGAAAAGGAAAGGGCGGGACAACTGACGGGTGGAATGCCAAGTGGGGGGGTGGGAAAGCTGGGAGGAAGAAAGTTGGGAGAGTTTGAGCTAAGAGGGGAAAAGCTGAGTGGGGGAAAGATGGGAAAAGGACAACTGAGAGGAGGAAAGTAGAGAGGGGGTGAGCTGAGAGGGGCAGAGCGGAGAGGCGGAAAGCTGAGAGGGGGGAAGCTGAGAGGGGGGTAGATGAGAGGGGGGAAGCTGCGAGGGGGGGAGCTGAGAGTGGGACAGCTGAGAGGGTATTGCTGAGAGGGGGAAAGCTAAGTGGGTGAAAGCTGAGAGGCGGAAAGCTAAGAGGGGGAAAGCTAAGAGGGTGAAAGATGAGAGGGCGAAAGATGAGAGGGGGAAAGATGAGAGGGGGACAACAGAGAGTGGGTGAGCCGAGAGTGGGAGAGCTGAGAGGGTGAAAGCTGCGAGGGGGTAAGCTGCGAGGGGGTGAGCTAGGAGGGGGGGAGCTAGGAGGGTGAGAGCTAGGAGGGGGAGTGCTGAGTGGTGGAGCATAGATGGGCAGGGGAGAGCTAAGAGATGGTGAAGACTGCTTTGGGAGAAGCACAGCGGGGGTATTGCTGAGAGGGGGTGTGCTAAGAAGGGGAGAGCTGGGTGGGGCAACGTTGGGAAGGGTAGAGCGACAATGGGGAAAACACCGAAGGGGATGGACGTGAGGGGGACAGCTTTGAGGGGAGGAGCTAGGTGGGGGGGTCTGAGTGTCGGACGGCCTGCCAGAGTCCGCCGTATCATATCACGAATTGCGATCACTTTTATTACAGCAGCTGCCTGACCCTGCGTTACGTGGTGTAAAACAACTCATTGATTCAATTTTCGGAATCCGATACCATGCGTAAAGCGTTGCCTGACCGCCTCGTCACGTACAACGCTAGTGCAGTCGACCATGCTTTATGGGATTGAGGTTCATTCAAGGGGTCTTTGTTTGGTTTTCTTGTGGCAGGTTCCTTTCGGTGGCAGGTTGCGTCCCCAACTTGCGCGTGGTAACGGTTGGGCGTCTCAAGATCCTAGGCGGAGGTGACACAGCTGGGGTCATCGGTGGTTGGGGACGGTATCCGCTTGCCATATGGGTCTTGAGTTGTTGAGTGTTACAATAAACATGGTTTTAGGATGCTTGTTGGGTAATCAATCAGTAAACATGGCCATGAGGCCATGCAACACGTGTGTCCAATGGCCACTCTTGTGGCTGACGGTTTCAGCTAGCCCCCTTCTGCCTAGAGTATTTATGCATATGAGTCTTGTGTTCCTGGTTGTGCCTTCTCCAAACCTACTAAACGTGGCATGGTGTGCCGAACAATGTGCAAGGTCCATTGACCCTGGTACTTGTAATATGTTGTCGGCAGCCGAATTATAAAATAACAAACATGGCTCTTAGTGCAGTCAAGAGGGGAAGCTCCAAACACACCCGTAGGAAGCCATGGCTCCTCCCGTATATTGTGCGTTCGTCCTCCCCGTGTCTCCCACCTTCCCCCAACTTGCCTACCCCCTGTCATTCTCCCTTGACCATTCTCCCCACATCCCCCCTCCAGCCACCCTATGTTCACCCTGCAGACTGCTCAAATTCCAACGTCCACGCACCCTCCATCCTCCCATGCAGTCAGCCCAAGTTCCTCCGCTCCTCTCCTCCTCCGATCCTCTGCTCCTCCGCTCCTCTGCTCCTCCACTCCTCTGCCCCTCCGCTCCTCTCCTCCTCCGCTCCTCTCCTCCGCCGCTCTTCTGCTCCTCCGCTCCCCTCCTCCTCCGCTCCTCTGCTCCTCCGCTCCTCTGCTCCTCCGTTCCTCTGCTCCTCCGCTCCTCTGCTCCTCTTCTCCTCTGCCCCTCCGCTCCTCTCCTCCTCCTCCGCTCCACTGCTCCTCCGCTCCTCTCCTCCTACGCTCCTCTGCTCCTCCGCTCCTCTGGTCCTCCGCTCCTCTCCTCCTCCGCCCCTCTCTTCCGCCGTTCCTCTCCTCCTCCGCTCCTCTGCTACTCCGCTCCTCTGTTCCTCCCGATCCTCTGCTCCTCCGCTCCTCTGCTCCTCCGCTCCTCTGCCCCTCTGCTCCTCTTCTCCGACGCTCCTCTCCTCCTCCACTCCTCTCCTCCTCCGCTTCTCTGCCCTGCCGCTCCTCTGCTCCGCCCCTCCTCTCCTCCTCCGCTCCTCTGCTCCGCCGCTCCACTCATCCTCTGCTCCTCAGCTCCTCCCGCTCCTCTGCCCCTCTGCTCCTCTCCTCCGACGCTCGTCTCCTCCTCCGCTCCTCTCCTGCTCCGCTTGTCTGCTCCGCCGCTACTCTCCTCCTCCGCTCTTCTGCTCCGCCCCTCCTCTCCTCCTCCGCTCCTCTCCACCTCCGCTCCTCTCCTCCGCCGCTCCTCTCCTCCTCCGCTCCTCTGCCCCTCCGCTCCTCCACTCCTCCGCTCCTCTGCTCCCCTGCTCCTCTTCTCTTCCGCCGCTCCGCTCCTCCTCCGCTCGTCTGCTACTCCGCTCCTCTCTGCCTCCCGCTCCTCTGCTCCGACGCTCCTCTCCTCCTCCGCTCCACTGCTCCTCCGCTCCTCTGCTCCTCCGCTCCTCTGCTCCTCCGATCCTCTGCTCCTCCGCTCCTCTGTTCCTCCCGCTCCTCTGATCCTCAGCTCCTCTTCCCCTCTGCTCCTTGTCGTGCTTCATGCCACTCCCAAATCTTCCTTTGCTTCAACTATCCTTCCTCCTTACCCTTCTTCCTCCCTGATCCATTCCGCCTTGTGTAGGTTATCACCGGTACCCTGGGACCAAGCTCTGCATGTTACAAGCCGCACGACGCCTGCTCAGATCTACTTAGGATCGAATTCCCGCACTGCTGAACTCTAGTAGGATTAGAGCGAATTTGCAGTATTGAAGGAAAACATACAAGCGAAAAGCGATCATCCTACTGCGTTGCCTACTATTTACACGTCCAGTTTCCTCTGCTTTATCATCCCCTCTACTCCTTCCCTCGAGAACTGAGATTGCGCTTGACCCCCTTTTCCGTCAGATTGGGCCCCTGCTGACGCCCTCCACCTCATTTTGGTTCGCGCCTCGGTCCTTCGACAATTCTGTCTCTCCACCCTCGATTTGCTGTAATGCTGAATTGGTACAGTGCCGTACTGTACCTTCTTCCGTATCTCCTTACTTTTCTGTTATTCCTACCGATTCACCCCAAGTCTTCTTCTTCGATTCTTCTCTTCCTCAACCCACTCCTCCCTTGCTGCTGTGTTAACCATGGGAAGCCCATCTCTTTCCGTGGGTAACGCGACATCCTCTCCTCCGACGCTCCTCTTCTCCTCCGCTCCTCTCCTCCTCGGCTCCTCTCCTCCTCCGCTACTCTGCTCCTCTGCTCCTCAGCTCCTCTGCTCCTCTCCTCCTCGGCTCTTCTCCTCCTCCGCTACTCTGCCTCCGCTCTTCTGCTCCTCCGCTCCTCCGCTCCTCCGCTCCTCTGCTCCTCCGCTCCTTTGTTCCTCCCGCTCCTCTGCTCCTCCGCTCCTCTGCCCCTCTGCTCCTCTCCTCCGACGCTCCTCTCCTCCTCCGCTCCTCTCCTCCTCCGCTTGTATGCTCCGCCGCTTCTCTGCTCCGCCGCTCCTCTCCTCCTCCGCTCCTCTCCTCCTCCGCTTGTCTGCTCCGCCGCTCCTCTGCTCCGCCCCTCCTCTCCTCCTCCGCTCCTCTCCTCCGCCGCTCCTCTCCTCCTCCGCTCCTCTCCTCCTCCGCTCCTCTGCCCCTCCGCTCCTCCCCTCCTCTGCTCCCCCGCTCCTCTCCTCCTCCGCCGCTCCTCTCCTACTCCGCTCCTCTGTACTCCGCTCCTCTCCTCCGACGCTCCTCTCCTCCTCCGCTACTCTGCTCCTCTGCTCCTCTGTTCCTCCGCTCCTCTGCTCCTCCGCTACGCTGCTCCTCCGCTCCTCTCCTCCTCGGCTCCTCTCCTCCTCGGCTCCTCTCCTCCTCCGCTACTCTGCCTCCGCTCCTCTGCTCCTCCGCTCCTCTGCTCCTCCGCTCCTCTGTTCCTCCCGCTCCTCTGCCCCTCTGCTCCTCTCCTCCGACGCTCCTCTCCTCCTCTGCTCCTCTCCTCCTCCGCTTGTCTGCTCCGCCGCTCCTCTGCTCCGCCACTCCTCTCCTCCTCCGCTCCTCTCCTCCTCCGCCCCTCTCTTCCGCCGCTCCTCTCCTCCGCCGCTCCTCTGCCCCTCTGCTCCTCTCCTCCTCTGCTCCTCTCCTCCTCTCCTCCTCTGCTTCTCTGCTCCGCCGCTCCTCTCCTCCTCCGCTCCTCTCATCCTCCGCTTGTCTGCTCCGCCGCTCCTCTGCTCCACCCCTCCTCTCCTCCTCCGCTCCTATCCTCCTCTGCTCCTCTCCTCCGACGCTCCTCTGCTCCTCTTCTCCTCTCCTCCTCCGCTTCTGTGCCCCGCCGCTCCTCTGTTCCTCCCGCTCCTCTGCTCCTCCGCTCCTCTGCCCCTCTGCTCCTCTCCTCCGACGCTCCTCTCCTCCTCCGCTCCTCTCCTCCTCCGCTTGTCTGCTCCGCCGCTCCTCTGCTCCGCCCCTCCTCTCCTCCTCCGCTCCTCTCCTCCGCCGCTCCTCTCTTCCTCCGCTCCTCTCCTCCTCCGCTCCTCTGCCCCTCCGCTCCTCCGCTCCTCTGCTCCCCCGCTCCTCTCCTCCTCCTCCGCTCCTCTCCTACTCCGCTCCTCTGCTACTCCGCTCCTCTTCTCCGACGCTCCTCTCCTCCTCCGCTACTCTGCTCCTCTGCTCCTCTGCTCCTCCGCTCCTCTGTTCCTCCGCTCCTCTGCTCCTCCGCTACGCTGCTCCTCCGCTCCTCTCCTCCTCGGCTCCTCTCCTCCTCCGCTACTCTGCCTCCGCTCCTCTGCTCCTCCGCTCCTCCGCTCCTCTGCTACTCCGCTCCTCTGCTCCTCCCGCTCCTCTCCTCTTCCGCTCCTCCGCTCCGCAGCTCCTCTGCTCCTCCGCTCCTATGCTCCTCCGCTCCTCTGCCCCTCTGCTCACCATACTCCTCTGCTCCTCTGTTCCTCCGCTCCTCTGCCCCTCTGCTCCTCTCCTCCGACACTCCTCGCCTCCTCCGCTCCTCTCTTCCCCCGCGCCTCTGCTCCAACGCTCCTCTGCTCCGCTGCTCCTCTCCTCCTCCGCTCCTCTGCTCCGCCCCTCCTCTTCTCCTCCGCTCCTCTGCTACTCTGCTCCTCTCCTCCGCCGCTCCTCTGCTACTCCGCTCCTCTGCTCCTCCGCTCCTCTCCTCCTCCGCCCCTCTGCTCCTCCGCTCCTCTGCTCCTCCGCTCCTAGGCAGACTGAAAAGCACGAGGGAGAATGAGTAATGAAACCGCATGGGCTGTGGGTACCTTTCATGCATGTTACTAACCCTAACTCCCTCGTCGCACTGCTCGAGCTCGTCGCACGCGTTTCTGCTGCAGGGTCTCGGGCTGTTAGTGGCGCGGATTTCGGCAACCATTTTTTATGGTCAGAGGGTAGAAATCGCAGGGTACTGCGGGTGTTAGTGACGGTGCGATTTGACGGTCCTTACATGGCATTCGCGGGAATGCTAAGGCGGGGATAGTGGTCATGAGTCTGACTTTTGGTGGAAGGTAGTCTATCTTTGGTGTATCGTCGAGGCCCTTCGCGTGTCTTGGGCACTCGGTGGTGCACAGAGGTGGTAAGCTGTGTGTGCTGCGTGCGCTGCCTTGGGCGTGGCGATGCTGGGCTGGGTTGTGCACAACAGAAAGTCCCAAAATTTATGCGCGCAGTTTCAAGTTTCATTGCGTGCAAACGCCCTGTGTGTCGGGGGCGGGGGCGGAATCGGCAGGGGGTGGCGCACGCGTTAAAATTTCAGCCCCCTTTTGGCGTGCGACGAAGGTTTCTGCTCTTGCGTTGGGGAACAAGGTTACCAATCGGGAGGGTTCAAGATTAATAATCTTGAAACGAAATTTCTGCAATTTGGGTTAACGGCTTTAACCGAAGAAACAAGTGAAGTCTACTTCGCAGTGACGCCAAAACCGGATGCCGCATTTATGCAGCATCTGTGATACTGTACCGCAGGTGCCGTCATGTTTGACGGGCAGCTTCAACGGATTTGCGTTTCGAGCTGGGATTGACGCGACATATTTTGGCTTTCTCATGATGGCACATTCCACATCTCTGGTGCACATTTTCCACTGGTTGGATGCCTCAGCAGTTCCCTTGTTCGTCTTGTGACTGGAAGCTTGCGCCCCAGCTTGCATGTTTGGCATTCATTGGATAGTTTTTGAACGATGCTGCTTAGACCTGGCTACAATCTAAGTTGTCATGATAGTATTCACGTGCAGAATCACAAGTAAGCAGACCCCTGCTTTTGATCACATGACTATCACGTGGAGGCCGTAATTTACCTGGTCTTGATTCGTTGACGTGCTTGCCTCAATGTTGTTGCTGACGACTGAGGCGATCTCCCTGTCATCCATCGCTATCAAGCAGATGATGAAGTCCTCAAACAACAGTTTCATATTTCCGGGCAAGTATAGGAAAATTCATCTATGAATAAAGCGCAGAAAGGTTACTTGATTTAGATAATGGAGGTTAATTCAAGAACTCGAGCCTGCCGAACCCAGGGTTCGCGAGCAAGGGCTACTGGGGCGATAATTCCTTGTCACAAAAAATTATGGGCACCAAACCTGGGACAACGAGCGAGGCCATACCAGACTTGTAGGGCGGGCATGATTAGTAGACTACACTATAGGAGAAACTTTGTCGGATGCTACAAAGATGATTAAATGCTGCTTCGAGGTTCGGTCTTATGAGCAAACTTAAGCCTCCGTGAAGAAAGTCAGGGTGTTACTGGCACACAACGAGTTCTACGTGAAGTGCATCCAATGGATGAATTGCCAAAGAGTGTCTATGGAATTGTCAAGTTTCTGGGTAACTTGCTGCCTCCTTTCCACAACAATCGTGTGGTTGGGAGATTTGTCGTTTGGACATTTCTCGGGTTTCGGGTTTAGGGCCAGGTGGAGCCCTTTTTGCTGCCCGAGACAGGTAGGACTGCTTTTGGATATCTGGGAAGGATGCCCTCCAAATGCATGAAATTCGTGCAGGGTGCGCCGCGGCCATTCTTTCCGCTTCAGGCAAGCCGAGCCAGCCAGTCTGTCAATGCCGATGGGGCCCCATCCAACTCCGTGCGGCAAAGCAATGGACGTTGCGGGTTTCCGCGGCGCAGCTCCATAGCGCGTCACGCGTGCGGTCGATGTGTTGTCCTCGTCATCCGCGCCTCCTCCCCCTTCTCTCCTCCGCAAAACTCCGCTGTGGAGTGTGCTTTGGAAACGAATACCACACACCACACTATGGTCTGCGCTTGCTGCTGCGCCTGCATGTGGGACTTCGGCTTCCCTCCATTGTTTTTTGTTTGCTTCCCTGCGCGCATGCATCCGCGCTTCACGTGTAGCGCAGTCCCCCCCAAAGGGCCTATGTGTTCTAGGGTTAATTGTTCCAATAATCGTTTTTTTTACCGAAACTTTATTTGTTAATCGGGGTATTTCTACTCTACAAAATTGATTCTCGTGTGTGAGAAAGATCAAGGAGATTCACGAGTGCAACCGGGAGGGTGTGGAGACTAGGCAAACGAGGGGTGGGGGAAGGGGTGGAAGTAAGTAGGTGGAGAGCAGGATGAGTGCAGGGTGTGGGGAAGGGGGGAGGGGGAAACAGAAAGACGCCTTGTCCATTGGTAGCACTTGATGAAATGCATTCAGCGGGTGGTACATGGGTTGCGCAACCCATCGAAGTTGCGCAACCGAGTCTGGTTACCGGATTCGCCAAAACTCGATGCACGGACAGCAAGGCGTGTGAAAGATGGTTGGTCGGAATTTGGTTGGGTAAGGTTGGATTTTTCGCCAGCTGCGCAATCAGGATTGCAGTTTTAAGGCGAAGCGCAACCCATGTACCACGCCCTCAAGACCATATGAGCACTTCGTGACTAACCAGGGCATGTCTTGTTTTTAACTTCGTACCTGTCAGGTTTTGGAAGAACAAGAGTCCTGGGCCAGAGTTTCAAAGTGCCCCGGGCGCACAGGCAACCCCAATGTCGGTTCTGTTTCCTCACACCAGTCCTGCATCAATTTCAGAGGCTGTGATTCCCCGATGCTGATGAATCTTGTTTGCCCCTCACGCTTTCGCGCCTCTCCCATGGTTCCCTCTGGACCTGACCTTCGCCGATTGATGAGAGGGCCATTCTTTCCAGCCAACCTAGTTCTCTCGACACGATTCCTTCTTCTCAAGCCAGCAGCAGCAGCAATTCGGCATTCCCTCACCACTTGCGTCCTCACCAGTGGGCTTGCTTTGCTTCACCACTGGTGCCTGTCCTTCCCAAACCACCCACACGCCCTGTACGGTTTCCCTCCCTCGTGCATCCACCTCACCCACCGTTTCCATATCGCGGATAACCCATCGAGTGAGACTAAGCTATGTCCTAGACCTGGTCCTTCCAGGCCTGAAGTTCATGGTCTGCACGCCAATCGTTGGCAACGAGTCCTTCGCACGCTGTCCGAACAGGGTCCGAGAGGCATGAGCTGGATTGATCGTGGGTTATATTTTGGGTTGCGTACAACAAACCAAGGAATATTATCAGGGAGGACGGGTTGCGTGTCCTCAGGTCTACCCGCTGCGGACTTCTCAGCAGAATTAAGGCAGCCCGCGTTTTCCTACTACTACTAGTACTTAATAGCGTCCTCCCAATCAGGCTGATTGGCCCAGCCATGTCCGACGTGGCGTATGACGACTACTTTAACTTGAAGGCCCCCGATTTGCACGGCCATACTGGAGCGTGCGGCTTGTCCTCTGTTCCGTCCACTCGATTTCGTGCCGCCTCTTTGGATGAACCTCGCGCTCTCGAAGCACTCCTCTACCGGGATTCTCTCCCCATGTTGGCTCATACCTCGGCCAACGGCGTCGTCTTCGTCCCTTGCGACGGAAACGTTCGTGCTGGCGACGGAAACGCCGTCGCATGCGTGACCAGCACCAGACTCGTGGAGGGATCCTCTGCGGGAATCAACGCCCACTCGATGGGAACTGAAAGCCACTGTGACCAATTCGTTTTCCGGACGCACCCACTGCTCCTGACCGCCGTCGATGCGTCTCAGCGAATCGCAACGGTCACTGATTACTCTGGGATGTCTGACGCGGTAGAGCTTTCCGATGCGGAGGTTGCGGCGGCCACCCGCGGTGAATATTTGTTTCCAGGGGGGCTTGTATCGCGGATGTTGATGGGCGCGGAGGCTGGGGGGACGGTGGAAGAGGCTTCAAATCGGTTATGCTCCGGCACAAGCGGCGCAGATGCTGCCGCGAGTTGCGGGGTTATGCCGAGCGCTTGGCGTGCGCGGATTCTATCGGCCCTTCGATCGACGGAAGTGTTGGATGCCGATTCGTTGAATTTCTACTACCAGCAGCAACAACAGCTTCAGCGTCTGCAGCAGCAGCAGCAGCACCAGCAGCAGGATTGCGACTCCTGCTCTGGGCAGTGTGCGCAACTCCCGCCGCGAGGCTCCGATTCGGAAGACGCTTATGGCGGTCCCCGAGGGGACTCGTACTACCGCAGCGAATATGGCGACGGGACGCTGACCAGCGGGAATCTCGGTTGCCGCCGGAGCACGGAACGATCTTCTGTTGACTTGCAACTGCATCATGCCATGCAGCAGCAGCAGGTGCACCAGCAGCAGCAGCAGCAGCTGCACCAGCAGCAGCAGCAGCAGCTGCACCAGCAGCAGCAGCAGCAGCTGCACCAGCAGCAGCAGTGCAGTCATCGGTCGTCCACAAGCTCATCGTGCGCAGCGGACGAGGCCGGCGAAAGGGACGCCGTCGCGCTGCTGCTCGCCAGCCTCCCGGAACATGATCGTCAATCTTCCCGCCGCGCGCACGCGCACGCGCCGCCGCAAGGGCACGCGCCGAGACACGCGCCGGACCACGCGCAGGTGCAGGAGCTCATGCTTGCGGCGCATTACCGGCATGAGCAGCAGCAGCAGCAGCAGCAGCAGCAGCAGCAGCAGCAGCAGCAGCAGCAGCAGCAGCAGCAGCAGCAGCAGCAGCAGCAGCAGCAGCAGCAGCAGCAGCAGCAGCAGCAGCAGCAGCAGCAGCAGCAGCAGCAGCAGCACCAGCAGCAGCACCAGCAGCAGCAGCAGCAGGTGCACCAGCAGCAGCAGCTTCAGCAGCAGCAGCAGCAGCAGCTTCAGCAGCAGCAGCAGCAGCAGCAGCAGCAGCAGCATCGCACCTCCTTCGAGCTCCAGCAAGACTTGCAGATCACCGTGGGCCCCAGGAGCGTCGCCGGATGCGACGCGTGCGACTCCATGGGACTCGGTGGCGGCAACTCTGGCGGCGCCGGCAACTACGGGAATGGCGGCGGGAATCGCGGCGGTGGCTCTGGCAGGAGCGGCTCGACATCCCTGCGGCGGCAAGGTGGCGGAGGCGGAGGATCTTCCACGTCCGCAGGCACGGGCGGCGGAACCAGCACTAGCGGCGGCGGCGGCGGCGGCGGCGGCCGCGGTGGCGGCGGCGGCAGTGGCGGGTGCAGCAGAATCCCCGACGTGGGCGGTCTGCGGCGCTTCCTCCCCAGCAACAACGACAGCGACGGGGAGGTGGTAGACGGGTACGCCAATGACGAGTTCCGCATGTACGAGTTCAAGGTGCGCCGCTGCATGCGCGGGCGCAGCCACGACTGGACCGAGTGCCCCTTCGCGCACCCGGGGGAAAAGGCGCGCCGGCGCGACCCGCGGAGGTACCACTACAGCGGAACGGCGTGCCCGGATTTCCGCAAGGGGACTTGTCGGCGGGGCGACGCGTGCGAGTACGCGCACGGGGTGTTTGAGTGCTGGCTGCACCCGTCGCGCTACCGCACGCAGCCATGCAAGGACGGGCGCAACTGCAAGCGCCGCGTGTGCTTCTTCGCGCACACGCCCGCGCAGCTCCGCCTCATGCCCTCCGCGGCCGCCGCCGCCGCCGCCGCTGCCACGGTAGCCGCTGCGGGAGACGCTTCCGCGCCGTCAGCAGCCGCGGGCGCTGTTTCTGGCGATTTTGGCGGTGCAGGGACTGATGGCGGAAAGGCGGCGCTCAGTAACCAGCTGCCTCAAACGGGGATGCCTCAAACGGGGATGCGTCTGGTCCTTGACGATTCGTCACCCACGAGTGTGTTTCCGTGTGACGTCAGCCGCAGCAGCAGCGCCGGTCCCGCAACCCCGCCGCTCACTCCCGCGTCCTCGTCTCCCCCTACCTCGCCCCAGCAATCCGGCGGTGTGGTGCCGACGGTGCTTGTGCAACCGCAGCAGCAGCAGCAGCAGCAGCGGCAGCAGGCTGATTACGAGCAGTATCAGCATGCGGCATTGTCGTTTGCGCAAATCATACCTGAACTCGGTGCCATGCCTTCTCCGTCACCCTCCCCTTCCCCCTCCCCCTCCCCTACACCTTCCCATCCCCACCCTCCGCTCTTTTACCCGATTCCGTCAAAGGCCTACCAAGTGGGCTCCCACCACATGTGTGTTCCTGCACACTCTCTTGCCTCGTCCTCGTCTGCCGCGCATAACCTCCCTTCTCATGCCTTTGACTCGCAGCCTTACACGCAGCAGCAGCATCATCATCAGCAGCAGCACCAGTTTGTGCAGCAGCAGCAAAATATGCAGCAACCTCAGCCTCAGCAGCAGCAGCAGCAGCAGCAGCAGCAGCAGCAGCAGCTTTCACCAGCATCGACAATGCATTTCCCCTTTCCACCGCACTTGCATTCCGCACATTCCGCCCCGCCCAACTTCGCTCACCTCCATTCCCAGCAGCAGCAGCAGCAGCACCAGCTGGAGCATTTCGCTGCTAGTGCAGGTGGTTCCAGCTCAGCGCATATGGAGAAGCTAGTGGGTGCCTTCAGAAGCATAGAGCTGCAGCAGCAATACCACCAGCACCAGCAGCAACACGAGCACCAGCACCACCAGCAGCAGCAGCAGCAGCAGGAGTCTGGCGTGCGTCTATCTGTGAGCCGCAGCCTCCCAGTGACCCACAGCCGGTCACTCCAACTCACTTCGGCCGAAACCGAAGCGTACCTAACCCTTGCTACGGCTCATGCTGCAATCGGTGGCACTAGCAGCTCCATTGGAAGTATGCATGCGGCCATGCATGTGCCGATGGGTGTGCCGATGGGTATGCCCATTGCCATGCCCCATGCCACCTTACTGCAGCACCGCATGGGCAGTCTCCTCCTGGGGAATCACTTCCAAGCTTCCACGCCCTCCCCTCGAGCTGCTGCTGCTGCTGCTGCTGCTGCTTCCCCTGTCGTTGCGCCAGCGCCTGCCTCGATGTTTTCCCCGGGCCCAGTGTCAGCAGCAGCAGCAGCGGCAGCGGCAGCAGCAGGTGCACCGCGTGCTATGCCTGGGAGGGCCTTGCACAGGGCTGGATCCGCACTGGCGGTGGGAGGAGCATCAGCAGGGGCAGGGGCAGGGGCAGGGGCAGGAGGCAGATGCCCCTTGGGAATGCCGAGAGCTGCCTCTGATAGCACGTCAGAGTATGCTGGAGCCATGCTGCCGGACCTTGGGTGGGTTACCGACCTTTGTCAGTAACGGTTGCCATCGGCATCTGTGGTTGATCTCCTGGATCGTTCTCGATGCGGCGTCTAGGGTATGCTCCTGGAGCATAGGGGTCTTGCTTCTTGGATCGCGGGGTCTGGTCGCGTGGATCTGAGATGGTTGTTACCTACGACAGGTAGCGTGAAGCTTTGCTAGCACACAGGCAGCTCTGACCACGCAGGTGAGGAGGACATGACAAGATGCGAAGGTGGTGCCTGAGCTTGCTACTGTTTCCGATTCAATCTCTTGCTTGCGTTTGCGTTTCCAGTTTGATTGTGTGCTTCCACTTGTCTGGTCCCCCCTACTGTTTCATTGGTATGCAAGGGTTTTCCAGTTCTAATTGCAGCCGGCCAGTACTCTCATTTGGCAGGTGCTGCATTGTTCTGAAGCTCACTAGTTGCTTTGGAGCAAATTTAGTCAATGTCCTGTTTGTAAGTGTCTTTATGCTCAGTTTCGGATCAGTAGTGATTAGGGCCACAAGTGTACTGTGACAGGTGGAATATTTCACAGCACGAACACTTCGAATGCTCACTGAGCAAACTACCTTGGCCAAAAATCAATGAAGGGTTTGTTTGGAAGAGCAAGACATAACAGGAGCACTGTAACACGGCTGGAAGAGGCATGCATGGGTCACACTGGCATGCAAGGCACTGCAGCTACAGGCCATAATCCCACTAATCAGGTAGCCACTAACAGCAGCAGAGCAGATCTCTACTGCCGCACTTGGAACCTAGCACGCTTCCTAGTAGCCATAACCTGCGCACACCAACCACCGAGGCACCCAACACGAATGAGAAAACCTCCAATGCAGAAAACTGTCAAACAAAATGACAAGCTGCCCATGTCCCCCCATTGCTTTCCTCCCCTCCCATACATCTCCAATATCTCCCCTCATTCGCCCACCCCTCTCCCCTCCCCCCTCGACCCCTCTCCCAAACCCACTCATCCCTCACCTGAGGCATCCATGGGGTTGCCAACGGGCGCAGCCTCCGGCTCCTTAATGTCCACCACCACACAGTCACTCGTCAGGAATGTCTTGGCCACCGACGCCGCATGCTCCAGGCAGCAGCGCACCACCTTGGCGGGGTCAATGATCCCAGCGACCATGAGGTCCTCATACACGCCCGTGCCCGCGTTGTAGCCAAAGTTGGGGTTGGGGTTGCTGCGGACCTTCTCGACAACCACACTGCCATTGACACCCGCGTTCTTGGCGATGAGCTTCAGGGGGTAGCTGAGGGAGCGCTTCACAATGTCAGCACCCACCTGGGAGGGGAGGGGAGGGAAGGGGAGGGGAGGGGAGGGGGGGGGATGGGAACCGTGAGAACAGATGAGAACAGGGTAAAACGCAAGCCAGCTTCAGAGGGTAGTTCAGGGACTGCTGGAATTTCAGCTCCGACCCGGGAGGGGGGGAGATGAGGGAAGAGCAGCCACTAGCGAGGTGAAGGGAGGAGAAGAGAGGGAGGAGGGAGGAGGCAGGGATGAGGCACGTGAACAAGGATAGCAACGTTGTGCCTCACTCAAGCCTCACTCAAACCTTACTCAAGCCACACTCAAGCATCACTCAAGCCTCTCTCAACCTCACTCAAGCCTCTCTCAAGCCTCACTCAAGCCTCTCTCAAGCCTCTCAAGCCTCACTCAAGCCTCTCTCAAGCCTCTCAAGCCTCACTCAAGCCTCACTCAAGCCTCACTCAAGCCTCACTCAAGCCTCACTCAAGCCTCACTCAAGCCTCACTCAAGCCTCACTCAAGCCTCTCTCAAGCCTCACTCAAGCCTCACTCAAGCCTCACTCAAGCCTCACTCAAGCCTCTCTCAAGCCTCACTCAAGCCTCTCTCAAGCCTCACTCAAGCCTCACTCAAGCCTCGCTCAAGTCCCTCTTAAGGCTCGCACCTTCTGCTCCTCGTTGGTGAGCGCGTCCTTGATGGCGTCCACCTTGGTGGACAGGCGCAGCAGCGTGCAGCCGCCGCCCACCACGATGCCCTCCTCCACAGCGGCCTTGGTGGCGTTCAGCGCGTCCTCCACGCGCAGCTTCTTCTCCTTCAGCTCCGTTTCCGTTTGCGCGCCCACCTGGTGGAGAGAGACACAAGCGGTCAAGGAACAGTGGCCCGAGAGAGTCAGATGGTAAGACGGTCATTTGGCGCGTGGGGTTCAGAGCGTCCTCCACGCGCAGCTTCCTTCTCCTTCAGCTCCGTCTCCGTTTGCGCGCCCACCTGCTCACAGTCAGAGGCAGACGGGCACACAGGCACACAGGCATGCAGGCATGCAGGCATGCAGGCATGAGGTCACCAACGCATGGGCACAGGGCGTGCAGCGAGTGCAGCAGCGACACGAGCTTTCGAGCTACCGGACACCTTGGGACTCCTGAAAGTGATTCCAAAGAGATGCCCGAAAGGCATTGGCGAAACGTGGAATGGGCAGGCATCACTCATGTGACTCGGACCATGATGGCATCCTTTCCACCTACATCGCCCTCTCCCTCGCATTCATTCATCCCAATTAAGCACGAAAACTACCTCACACCCACGCATCCCATCCGAATCCCATCCGCGCACTTCCCCCACGCCTCTCGCCTGGTCGCAACACCGCCCAACAGCCTAGAAGTGCGACGCTCGATCTGGCTCTCCTTCTCCTACTCCAGCTCCGCCGGCTCGCGGCCTCGGTCTGTTTACGGATCGACAACCGACTCTCGGTTGCTTCCCCATCGACTCAAGAGCGCCTCAAAAGGCAATTCAAGAGCAGCAGCAGCTCACCTGGATGATGGCCACGCCGCCCGACAGCTTGGCGATGCGCTCGTTGAGCTTCTCCTTCTCGTACTCCTGCTCCGCCGCCTCGATCTGGTTGCGAATCTGCGACACGCGCGCCGACACCGCGTCCTGCGTCGAGCCGTCGCCCACGATCGTCGTCGCGTCCTTCGTTAGAGTCACCTTCGCCGCTGTGCCCAGCACCTCGCGCCCGACCTTGTCCAAAGCGAGGCCGACTTCCTCACGCACCACCGTACCTGCGGTCGCACGAGCAGTGGCGGAGACAAGAGAGCGCGGGGAGATTATAGATGAGAAGGTAAGGATACGATGGGTTTAGACGAACGACCTTCTCCGAGACAAAAGCGCGCGCGAGGAGACCACAACGCCATGCGGGAAGTGCGGAAACGGGACGAGAACATGCGCCTCACTTCCCCAGAGTTGTTAGTGTGTACAAGAGTTGAATGAAGGCTCCGGCAAGATTGCTTTTCGTCATTCTCCACGGTCCCCCCCCTTCCCGCTCCCACATGATAGAAGCCTAGTTTTGAGGCGCCTCAAAAATAGACTCCTCACGCATCGTTCCCGCATCCGAATCCCACCTCCCTCCTCTGACCCGGCCACCCGATACCCTAATCATCTGCCCTCAGCTCGGTCTCTGCACCGGCTTCCAACCCTAAACCCTTGCGACTCCCGCGCCCAGACGCAGATGGATGTAAACCCCACCTTGCCGTGAGGAAAGCGGAAACCCTCACTCTGCCATAAGAGTCGGAGCCTTTCCTCCTGTGAGGACGGTGGTGTCATCGAGGTATTGGTTCTTGCGCTCGCCGAGCCCGTGAGAAGGTCAGACTAAAACCCTCACCTTCCGCGAGGATCGCAGCCTCACCCCCCGGAGAGGATGGCAAAGAACCTTACCTCCAGTGAGGATGGCGATGTCGTCGAGGTATTGGCTCTTGCGCTCGCCGAAGCCGGGCGCCTTGAGGGCCGCCACCTTGAGCGAGCCGCGCAGCTTGTTGACGACGAGCGTTGCGAGCGCCTCCTGCTCGATGTCCTCCGCGACGATCAGCAGCGGGTACGACCCGCGGATCGCGTCCTCGAGAATGCCGATGATGTCGCGCGCCGTCGAGATCTTCTTGTCCACCAGCAGGAGCTGCAGCGGGAGAAGGGAGAAAACGTGGGGAGAGAAAAGGGGCAAGATCGAGGGATCGAGGGAATTTGAAACCCGGGGGTTTTGATCAGGTTTTAAGGCGGGGGGGCAGGAGGGAGGGAGGGAGGGAGGGAGAGGAGGGGGGGTGAGGGGGGGGAGAGGAGAGAAAGGTACGGAGATCCCAGATCGCACACAGAAGGCGCAACTCGTGAACTGATGGAAGCAGCAGGAGCAGCGGTAGCAGCAGCAGTCGTACCTTGCAGTTGTCGTACTCGACGGCCATCTTCTCGGTGTCGGTGACGAAGTAGGGCGAGAGGTACCCGCGGTCGAACTGCATGCCCTCAACGACGTACAGGTTGTTCTCAGCGCTCTTGCCCTCCTCCAGCGTCACCACGCCGCGCCGCCCCACCTTGCTCATGGCCTCCGCAATCATCTCGCCCACCTCCTCGTTGTTGCCCGCGCTCACCGCCGCCACTTGCGCCAGCTCCGCATCCTCCACCTGCCGCGGGGGAGTCAGAGGACCGTTAAGGCATTCGATCCAAGACGGAGAAGCAGCATTGAACCTAGAAACCTGGCTAGAGAAGCGGCGAGGCGGGGTCGACCGGCCGCTCTGCCCTTGACAATCCACGTAACAACCGTTTTCAACTCCGGCAAATCAAGGACCTGATCCCAAACAGTACACTCGAGCGCGTACCTCCTTAGCGAGCTCCTTGAGCTCCTTGACGAGAGCGATGACGGTCTTGTCGATGCCGCGCGTGATCTGGATGGGGTTGGCGCCGGCCGCCACCACCTTCATGCCCTCCGCGATCATGCCCTGCGCGAGAACCACTGACGTGGTCGTGCCGTCGCCCGCCAGATCGTTGGTCTTGGCGGCGGCCTGGCGCACGAGCTTCGCGCCGATGTTCTCCACCGGGTCCTCCAGCTCCACCTGGATGGGCGTGGCCATGGGGAGATTAGCAAAGGCGGGAAAGAAAGGGTTAGGCAGGAGTAGTAAACTCCCCGGAAAATCTTGCGAGAAAGTAAGACATTGGCGAGTGCGGTTAATGTCACGTGGAGGCATAGAGGCGGACGGGCATATAGGCAGCCGAGAATTGGGATAGTTTCCCCAGCAAGCCAGGCTGACTGCAATGGATGTGACCGATGGATGATGGACGAAGAGATCTGACCTCCTTGGCAACGGTGACGCCGTCGTTGACGATCTTGGGCGCGCCGTACTTGCTCTCCAGCACCACGTTCCGCCCCTTGGGGCCCAGCGTCACGCCAACGAGATCCGCCAGCTTGTTCACGCCGGCCTGTGGTCGCGAGAGAAGGACAGAAGAGACCCGAGGCGAATAGTGACGACACGAAATTTAAGCATCAAGAGCACGAGGATATCAGGAGGGGAGACGACCCAATCCAGTCAGAAAAGAAATACGATACAACGAATGACGGCGAGTGTGTTCGACCGAGTGTGTTCGACCGAGCGTTTTCGACCGAGTGTTTTCGACCGAGTGTTTTCGACCGAGTGTGTTCGAGCGGCGTCTCGTGGAGACCGTGCCCCGCCGCACCTGGAGTCTCTTGGTGGTGGCGCCGTCGCTGTTGAAGTGCAGCTCCTTCGCCATGGCCCGAGCACCAGCAGCCTTCCCGCGCCTGCCGATGCGCGCAACTCGCGCTTGCCGCACCTGAGCGACATCTCCGCGCGTGCCATATGAGGACGAGGCTGGGGACACCCCGGAGCTGACCTTCAGACCCTCTGAGATAGCCAGCGAAGCCATTATATTTAGGTTATGAAGGAGGCTCGCGGGTTTACTGGCTATTCAAGGAAGAAACGCCGATAGGGTTAGGCCTGAGAGCGGCGAAAGGCAGTCAGACTGACAGATCACGGCGTGAATTGCGCGGAACAAATGGAAAACACGCAGAGTTGTGATGGGTGAGTTTGACTGCTTGGTAGAGGGAAGGGCGAGAGAGTTCTCTAGGAGGGGGGATGTCGAGTGTTGGTGCGTGACTGCTGATGTCACGCTGCTGGGAGGAAATTGGTGACGGTGGATGCTTGCGTGTTCACACTTACCTTCATCCACGGACAGAGAGAGGCCACGCTGGCATCATTCGGGTGCAGTTCCAGCCGACACCTGGAGATTCGGCGGAAAAGAGAAGAGTCTGGGACCAGCGACACGGTGACATGGACATTCTAGAAAAGATCGGGTCAGATGGCTTTCCACATCAGCGACGAAGCTTCTGGTGGGATCTTGAGAACCCCGGACCCTCAATCTGACGGCGGAGATGTCGCCTCTTGGGTTCGCGAAAGGATAAAACAAATGGTCCAGCAGATCCTTTTCTATATACTTCGCTATGGTCGAAGGACATCCTCGACAAACAGAAGACTAGTGAACTGCAAATCAACAGTCATGGGTGAAACTTGCTGAAAGCCGTATGTTTTACTATGTTGCAACAGAATAAATGATTGTGATGTTCATTTTGCATGCAACTCGTGGTTCAAATCAAATGTCTTTCTGATATGCTAGTATATTAGTTATAGCATATTAACAGGAAATTCAGCGAGCATCATCCCCCAAACTTAAGTACCGTACCAGAAGATAGGAAGAGGAAGGGAGAGGAGGAAACGGAAAGCAAGGGGTTTTTGGCCTTGGGCCTACATATTCTCATTCACTACTATCGTTCTAAGCCCTCGTAACTTCCTGCTGACTCAGCAATTCCTGCTGCTGAGTCAGACAGAGAGCAAGAACCTCCTTTGCCTCCATACACGCTTTCCTTGACCCAACCCTGGCACCTCCATCATCACCACCACCACCACTACCAACACCTTTACCACCACGGTTTACGCCTCTTCCTTCCCCTATCCCACACACTGCAGCAACTCTCTCCAAGGGTCCAGGGCACGCAGCTCGCAGCAGACAGAGGGCTGCAGATCGGTTCAGCGCGGCGCATGCAGAGCGTGCCAAAACGGGCCCTGCGCTGCGTATCAGCCGCTGCTCGCACTCCCGCGCCCGCTGTAGCAGCGGCTCGCACTGCGCCTCGCGACGCCTCGCTGCTGCTTCTTTCGTCCCGTGCTGCTGATCGTCGCTGCCAGCGGCACTGCTTCTCAACAGGCTGTTCCTGCTGGTAGACTCTACCACCAGGGTTGTTGCTGATCGCTCGGAGCTGTCTGCAGAATCGTCCATCTGGTCGCTATCTAGCGAATTCTTTCCCGCGAGTGAACGGACTCACGAGATTCGTGTTGCGCGGTCGAGAAAACATGAACAGCCATGGGCTGTGGTGTGGAGTCTGAACCACGGCATGAACGGTCGGTTCGCACGGAGATCTCGCCGCTGCTGCTTTCCTACTGGCCAGACTGGCTCCTCGTCATTCCCCTCGCCATCAATACCTACGTCGTCCCTTCCGCGTCCTGTGTCCCGCTGGTCGTTGCTGCTGAAACGCGCGCTCCTACCAGGAGAGAATTTCCTATGGTGCCGTGGTTTGACTGGTTGGTGCCTGACGACGAGTGAACACCGAGGTGTCAATCGAGGTGTCGAGGTAGGATCGGTCGGAGTGTGGAATTTGGAGGGGAGGTGTCAATCGCGCTAGAAGGCATGAAAAGGTCGAATGTACAGTTCATTAAAGCAGAAGGCATGTAGTGTAGAAAAGCGTCTGTAGAGGCACTATCGGATAGTACAAAAGCAAGAGACAATGATACGCCATCCCTCCAAATCAAAAGATCAAGTCAGGCGCTTGCAAAGGGAATGGCGCAACCAGCGCCTCAAATTCCGCCCCTGTCGGCCTCATCAGCCCCCCGGGCACAAACGTAAAATCCCCTTCTATGCTCCCCCACTGCCCTGTTATTTGAGAGCAGCTCTGATACACAAACTCCTTACCCTCACGCCTCAATATGGGATACTCACCCACTACCGCATCACCTCTCACCTCCGCAACCACCTCCCCTTCCTCTTTGATCACCCAATGGCGCGAGCGCAGCTGGCACGCTGGCATGTCAATGGCAGATGCGCCTGATTGGTCGGTGCTGTGGTCCACGCTCATAGGTTCAGTAGTAGAGGAGGGTTGGTCTTGGGAAGAACCCAGGGGGTGGGTGCAAGAGGAGGGTGACATGGTGGTAAGTGCGATTGGACTGGGAAGAACATCTTGAGGTTGGTCCAAAGAAAGGAGCCTCATGCGCACAGAATAGGCAAAGCACCTCTGCCCTTCCTCTTCCTCTTCCTCATCCTCCTCTCCTGCTCCAACCACCTGCCTGGCCCTCCGACCTCTCCACCCTCCACTTCCTCCTGCGCCGCCCCTCTGGTTGCCTTCTTCCTCGGCCTCCTCATCCCCTCCACCGGAAGCTTCACCACCAATAGCACCAGCAGCGGCAGCAGCGGCTTGAGAAGCCTCCTGCGATTCTGGTCCTGATCCAGTGGCAGTGGCGGCAGAGGGGCGTGGCAGCACCAGCGGCGCTACTTCGGGCACAAAGAGAGCCGAGGCCCGCACACACACCCCCCTGGTCACAGCCATGGAGCACAGGGGAGGCTTATCCGGAAACAGGCAGATTCCTTTAGCGGGGAAATCGCCCACTATGGCCTGCACACTGTACCACCCGTGAGTCAGCCGCGAGGCGTACTCCTCCAGCCACCTCAGCATGCCATCACCCCCCGCAACATGTGGTAACGCTCCTGAAGATGCGTCATTTGATGCCCCTTCCCTTCTCGCACCAGCTCCAGTCACTCCTCGCCCTGCCAGACCTCCTGCTCCTCCTGCTCCCACCCCATCTCCCGTCCCTGCTCCTGTTCCTCTCCCTCCTCCTCCCCCTCCTCCTCCTCCGTCCCCAGGACCCTCCCAGCCTGCCCGTGACGTCAGAGACACCTGCCAATCGTCAGCAATTGCAAGCGGGACTTCTGAAGCAAGCGGGTTCGGGCAGTGGAGCGGGCGGCAGGCCGGCAGGCAGGAGAGGAACGTGCAGGCATGCAGCACGTCGCTGCCGCCCACAGTCACCATGCCCGTGCGGCAATCCAGGAAGAACAGCTTGGCGTAGTTAAACGACGCCCCGATTAGAACCTGAGTGGACGGCCACCCCTCTCCTCCTCCCCCTCCTGCTCCTCCTCCTCCCCTTCCCCCTGCCCCCCGGCCCCCTCGGGCTCTTGAGACGAGAGCATTAGTGCGGCGAGTGGCAGCAACACGGGTGCGGATCTGCAGTGTGCCGGCGACTATGCGGCGCAGCGGCAGCAGGCGCGTGCTCACCCAGTGGTCGTAGAAGCTGTAGCTGCCCAGTAGCCCGTGGAATATAGATTCCACTGCTATCTCATCGCTCTCCTCCTCCATTCCTTCTTCCTCCTCCTCATCCCCCTCCCCCTCCCCCTCTCCCTCCCCCTCCTCCTCCGCCTCCTCTTCCTCCCCTCTCTGCGGCTCCTCCCCCTCGTCCATCTCGTTTCGCTCATTCTCCTCCCCGTCTTCGACCTCCTCCTCATTCTCACCCCTTGTTCTATCCGTTTCACCCCCTTCCCCCTCTCCCCCCCTACTCTGTTCCCCGCGGGCCCCCTCCGCTCCGCCATCGCGCGCGCGTCTCCCCCTCCCCCGCTGCCTCCCCCTTTCCCCCCCCCGCCGCTGCTCCCCGCGCTCCTCCACAACCATCTTATCGTACCGCGGCATCTGTCCGTCGCATACGCGATACAAGGCGCGTACGGCGGCAGGAAAAGCCACCCCCAGCGCCGCTTCCGCCGCGTCGAGCTGCTGCTCCGTTGCACCCGCGAGCAGAGTCTCGTCCAGATCCGGAATATGCGCGCGCAGCCACGTGCGCAGCACGTGCCAGACGCGACGCGCGCGGGGATAAAGCGGTCCGTAGCGGCGGTAGGAGAAATAGTGCGAGCCGTAAAGCGCTCTCGCTAAGTTTGCGGGATTTGATTCAGAAACTGCAGGATTTTCGGCGTTTGCCGCCGTCCCGACTAGAGATTCTCCGGATTTTGTGGACGAATCCCTACTGGCAGAAGCTCGGTCAGCGGACGAGCAGCGCGCGATTCGGCTTTCGCCGCCCGCAATAGACGCACGTCGCCGAGAATTACGCAGAGCTTGGCTTGGCGAAGGCGCCTGCTGAATTCCCGCAGCTCTGATCTCTTCATCTGTCACCAGCCAATCGCGTTTCGCCATCTGGATCCATAGGTCCTTTTCGTCCAGCGTAGCGCGCCACGTCGGATGCACACACTCGGCAACCGCAGCGTCGCGGCCTGGCAGGCGAGCGAGAACGAGATACAGAAGGCCCTGCGGTAATTTCGTCACGTGGCACTCGCCAGTGTCATCATCTGCCATGATCAGCGGCTGCAGTGGTAGATGACCGAAAGGTGGACAGCAAAATGGCAAATTGGATGCCACGTTACTAAACGGAAGACTAATATGCAGTAGCAGACTAGTTGTGTGGCGATCCCCTATGTCACTGAATTGCTCCAGCATCGGATAAGAGGGAGCATTTACACGAGTAAGCAGTAGGGGGGATAACATTGCTAACATAGATCCAGTTCATTTCACATTCAGATAATGAACCTCAACCACAGTTTCTAGATAACAATTTAGGCTCATGTAGCATCAATTATCAGTGAAATATGCAATCTGCATTTCACCTAGTTTAATACAATCTAACTTACTTCGAGTTAGAATATGTCTGATATCTCTTGGAGGTCCACCAGGTCGTCATCTGTTGCTCAGTCCAGTTGTGAGGCAGAGATCTGCGTTGGGGCTATGGCCGCTTAGGAGCTCCGCTGGTTGACGTTCTTGCTCACTGACTTAGGTGAGCGGCCTAGGTCTGCCCCGGTCCTGTTTGCTGACAACAAGGCCATGATCCTTCTGTGTTAGGAGGCTTGACTTGAGGGCAGGGCCAAGCACATCCAGCTGCGGTACTTCCTGCTGCGTGAATTGCAGTAGCGCGGCCAGGCTCGAGTGGTACAGATGGCCTCAGAGACCAACACCGCTGATATCTTCACCAAGGCACTTGCGCCTCGTGACCATCAGCGGTTCTGTACTCAGCTTGGTCTCGTCTCCGTAGCAGCACCACTCCTTGTACCCTGAGTCATACTATATGTAATTTTTTGAAAGCGTGTAACACTTTCTAAAAAATGTGTATTGTGAAAGTGTAGCGAGGGCCAACGCAGCAAGGTCAGCGTCGAAGCGCTACTCACCCTCTTTTGCCTACAAAAGAGGGACATGAGGCCATTCGACCTCACCCACGTTCTTCATTTCTAGTTCCAGTTTCGTTTTCCAGTTCTCGTCCTAGTTCTAGTCTTCTATTCTCGCCCAAGCTGGCGAAAACCCAGTCTCTTCCGCGCTTCAAAGCTCTGACAACGCTCCTCACCGACATTCTGCAGCACAATATTACCGCGATGACTTCCGCCAATTCTGCTCCGGCTCGCATGGTGAATAACATTTCTACCCCCGCTAACGCCCAGGCGCTCGGAACTTCGCCCGGGGGAACCGACCGACGTCAGAAACGTCCTGCTGAGGACAATTTTGGCGAGGGCCCCTCGGCAGTCGAGATTCTGCTCGGCGGCAGTCACGCTGCTCCAGAGGAAACTCGCAGCCGCGCGTGCAGGCAACGGAAGTCCACGCGCCAGCCCGAGGCGCGTCGCCTGCAGGCCAGGCGGGCCCCACCACCCAGCACGCGCCTGCCGCCGACCCCGCGCCAACCGCCGCCGCCCCCGCCTTGACTACGCACCAGCTGCAAGCGCTTTTGGCGCTGTTACAGCAGCAAGCTCCTGCTGTTACAGTCGGAACCTCATCCGATAACGCTGCACCTACGACCAATTTTAACAAAAAAGAAAGAAATGGCTACCCATCCTCGCACGCCCAAGGCTCCCCGCGCCGACGACCAGCCCCCGGCACCAACTCCCGCACCCGCTGACAACCCCGATGACAGCGACGACTCCGAAAATGACGATGGTGAGGGTCCCGCCAACATTGCTCGTCGTCGCATCCTCGCACCCCCCCCCCCCTTCCCCCCCTTGGTCCCACGCCCGCAGCTACTACCTTCATGCGCAAGGGCGTACGCGACCAGGCCGAGGTCTTCACTGCCATCGAAGCGTACCTGAAGCATATCGACTTCAAGCTGCAGCACGGCGACGTCGTCGGCGCACTCAACAACGTAAAGGATATCGAAATACTTATTAATAAGCGTTTCCAAGTCCTTCTCGTTGCGGACGAAGCCGGTTTCGAGGCCGCCGACCGGTTCCAGCTCTATCAGTCCAAAAGTGTCCTGACATCCTGCTCCTACAAGCTGGCGGTCGCGGATGTGGCAGCGCTCAAGCGTGCACGCCTCGGCTATACGCGCGGCGGCCGTCCCGGTGGTCGCGACACGGACTCGGACATCAAGGGCTCCCCCCCTGCTACGTGCCAGCAGCCGCGCTTCAAGGGAGTCTGCTTTCGCTGTGGCCAACCTGGCCACATGGCCAATGCATGCCACATGGGAGGGCGTGGTGCGCAAGGTCCCTCACCGGTGGTGTGAGCGGTTGATAGGGCGGCGCCCTTTCCCACATGCAAGAGGCATAGTGGGTTGCACGGTAGGTGCATGGCCGGTGGCCAGCCTTTTGCCAAAGGCAAGGAGTCTTCGCTGACTAGGGTGGCCCTTGGGGACAGCAAAGGCTGATAGGCCTAGGCTTGTAATAATTCCTATGATTGAATTAAAGGCTCAACCGTGTCACAGCCATCCGTTTTTTTCCAAAAAAAAAAAAAAAAAAAAAAAAAAAACCCCTTGAGGGGGTTGGGGGGAGGGAGAGGGCTACAAAACCCAGTCAACATGGCTGGTCAGCCTTGAGCATGGCCTCCGACCCCTCACTTTTTTCTTTGCCGACCACGCAACACGCCCCGAGAGCTAACCATGGAGGCACGCTCGGCACCCAACAAAATGGTGCGCACGCACGCACTCGGAGATGCACTATTTAAGAGCCAAGGACAGAGTCTAGGAGCTCAAAGCTAACACAAAGAGTGGCCCAAACAAGGAGAGCAAAAGAAGGAGGAGGAAGAAATGTAAGCCAACCACCAACGAGCACCAACGCGCTTAAAAAATGTTCACGTACGAACACAGCACGTGATGTCTTCGCACGCAAAGGAAAGAGGGAAAGAGGGAGATCAAGAGATGGAGAGAGAGAGAAATAGCAAGCGAGAGAGAGAAAGAGAGAGAGAGAGAGGGAGAGAGAGAGAGAGAGAGAGAGAGAGAGAGAGAGAGAGAGAGAGAGAGAGAGAGAGAGAGAGAGAGGAGAGAGAGAGAGAGAGAGAGAGAGAGAGAGAGGAGAGAGAGAGAGAGAAAGAGGGAGAGAGTGAGAGAGAGAGGGGAGAGAGAGAGAGAGAAAGAGGAGGAGAGAGAGAGAGAGAGAGAGAGAGAGAGAGAGAGAGAGAGAGAGAGAGAGAGAGAGGGAAAGAGATAGAGAGAGAGAGAGAGAGAGAGAGAGAGAGAGAGAGAGAGAGAGAGAGAGAGAGAGAGAGAGAGAGAGCGACAGAGAAAGAGAAGGCGGATAGAGAGACGAGTACCCCTTGCACCTTGCAAGCACCTAACACGGCAGTGGCCGTGCGGTCCGAGCATGTCATGCCCCGCCTACACTTGCCCCGCATCGTGCACCTGCTCACGAGCACAGTATCTTACTCCCATCTATGAACCCATGTTTATAACCTCGTATAATGCAGAGATCCCAAGTGGGTGGCCACGAGAGGAATGCAATCCCTACGAGCTCGCAACTACAGACAGGGACGTGACCATCATGCGCAGTCGACTGCGGCATGCCTTGCACTGGTGGTGCTCCTGGTGTGACAGTAGCTTTATCCTCTCCGTCATCGCTAAAGGGTATTGGCTGCCCTGGAAGAATACAGCCCCCACACCCTTCGAGGACAACAACCATGCCGGAGTCTGCACGCACCTCGACTTTACTCGCGTCACAATTCGCGATCTTGTAGTGACCGGCGCTGCTGCAGTGATCGAGAAGAGAGACACACTAACATGTGTCAGCCCACTGAACGTCGTGAAGCAACGCGACAAATGCCGCCTCATCCTTGACCTGCGGAAAGTGAACACCCACCTTGAAGCCCCCAAGTTCAAGTACGAGGGTCTGAATCGTGTAGCCGAGCTCATCCGCCGAGATGACTGGATGTTTTCCATCGACCTGAAATCTGGATACCATCATGTCGAGATTCACCCTTCGTGTTGGCAGTTTTTGGGCTTCCAGTTCGAAGGCATCTACTACTCCTTTCGGTCACTGCCGTTCGTCCTTGCAACTGCTCCATTTGTTTTCACCCAACTAATTAAACAACTTGCCAAGCGATGGCGGGCAAGCGGCGTTCGAGTGGTCCCGTATGTTGACGACCTATTATTTCTCTGCGATTCCCACCAGCAAGCGTGCTCGACTCGTACGACAGTCCTCCAGGACCTTAACGCAGCTGGCTTCGTCATTAACGGCAAAAAATCGCACCTCCACCCCTCCCGTCAGCTTCGCTTCCTCGGATTGGAAATCGACTCCACCCGCGGCACGTTCTCCGTCGGACTCGAGCGAAGGGCTCAACTCTTAACCACGCTTGAGGCCTTGATAACCCAAGGACAATCAGGAAGGCATATTCCCGTTCGATCCCTCGCAAGAGTTACAGGCATGCTCGCCTCTATGGCCCTAGCACTGGGCGCGACGGCACGAGCATTCAGCCACGAACTCCTGCGACTTATTGCCGACGCAACGTCCTGGCAGTCCAAGGTCCTCCTGCACCCGGCAGCGGTGGACGAGCTATGTTTCTGGCTGGCGCAATTCGACAAATTTAACGGCGCCCCATTTCATCTCAGTCACCAGTTCGACGCCGTCATCCACGTGGATGCAAGCGCCCACAGTTGGGGCGCCATCCTCACGCCGCTCCCTGGGATCCCAAAAGAAGCAAGCTCCCGCATGCCAGAAGACCTCCTACACACTTCCAGCACCCGAAGGGAACTCGAAGGTGTACTGTGGGCACTAAGAACCTTTGACACCCACATCTCCAAACGGCACGTGTTAGTTCGTGTGGACAACCAGGGGGTTGTATTCATACTGCGCAAAGGCGGCTCCAGCATCCCTGCACTCACACTACTTTGCCAGGCGATCATCGACCTTTGCTTAAAAAACCAGACACGCCTTGCCATCGAATGGATTCCCCGGGAGCTGAACGCGCACGCCGACGAACTCTCCAAAGTCCAGGACCGAGATGATTACTCACTCAAATCCCCATGGTTCCGACTCCTCGACCGCCGCCTGGGGCCTCACTCTGTCGACCTATTCGCGAATGTTCACAACGCTCAACTGGGGCGCTTCTGCTCCAAGATTCCTCACCCCAAGGCCACAGCAGTTGACGCCTTCTCATTCAGCTGGCATGATGAACGCGGCTTCGCGTTTCCCCCCCCCCACCTCATCCCGGCTACTCTGCGCCACGCCCAACGCACCCACGCCGAGTTGACGTTGGTCATTCCCGAGTGGCCAGGAGCCTCTTGGTGGCCCCTACTGCAGCCAGCACCACGAACCTGGGCACGAGAAGTAAAGGCACATATTCCCCTCACTCAAGGCAGCCAATGCCTATCCCCAGGCACACACTCACTCGCCTTTGCTGGTCTCGGTTTTCCCAATAGCCCGATCATTGCGTTGCATGTGACATATAAAATATAACCCCACCATGCCTGGGCTCTCTGTATTTCAGGCTTAATATCAAAACTACAGACACAGCTACTTCGGGTAATCGGTCATGTCCGCGCGCCATCCACCATAAGGACCTACGAGCCGTATTGGCTCAAGTTCCGCTCCTTTTGCACGAAGGTCAAGCTGAGCTACCTGCCTGCCACAGACATTACTCTAGCGCTCTACCTTGTCTATGCCCTCAACAATCAGGCCACAGTATCCGCCATATCCCTTACTTGCTCCGCCGTCGCATTTGCACATCGGATGACCGGAGAACCCTCTCCCACTAGCAGGCCTTTCACTTCACAAGTTCGTGAATTCTCCAAACGCCACGGCCCGTGCACCACCAGGACGAAGGAACCCTTGTCGCTCCACCAGGTGCACGCCATGGCACACCCCTTTCTTGAGTCGAGCAGCCCGGCAGAATATCAGAAAGGACTGATCCCACTCCTCATGTTCGCGGCATTCCTCCGCTACTCCGACATCGTCTCCATCCAGTGGAACGACATCCACTTCGACGAGGAGTCTATGTGGATCCTAATCCCGCACTCCAAGACGGATCAAGACGGCAAGGGCTCATGGATCCCAGTTGCTCCCACAACTGGGCCTTACTGCCCAGTCCGTTGCACCCAGCGGTTTCTGCAACTCGCGGGACACCCCACCACCCCGCATGGACCACTGATCCGTGTCTTTGGCACCAGCGGCAGGGCAACCCCTCACGACAGCGCTCCGTCATACACAACCATCCGCAACTGGTGCCTCGAAGCCTTCGCCAAGGCTGGGCTTGACAACAGACACCTCGGCACTCACTCCTTCCGCAAGGGCGCCGCAACTGCGGCAGCTAACTTGGGGATCCCTGACCGGCTCTTCAAGCGACTCGGTCGCTGGCGTAGCGATACGGCCAAAGATCTCTACGTCACCATTGCGCAGGACCAGCTCCTTGCGGCATCCACACGCATCCAAGACGCGTCCGCCGCTCCATCGCCCAGACATCACCAGCTCTCCATCGAGCGACACCGCCAGCCCCTGCTTCACATGCCTCAGAAGACCCATATGAAATGAAGCACGCTGCCTTTGCCAAGGTGACCCAAGCAAGCTTTCACAATATGTAATTTTTTGAAAGCGTGTAACACTTTCTAAAAAATGTGTATTGTGAAAGTGTAGCGAGGGCCAACGCAGCAAGGTCAGCGTCGAAGCGCTACTCACCCTCTTTTGCCTACAAAAGAGGGACGTGAGGCCATTCGACCTCACCCACGTTCTTCATTTCTAGTTCTAGTTTCGTTTTCCCCACCCACCCACCCTATTGGACGGTGTAGTCTATTGGACGAGAACCATGTACTGTAGCCCATATGAAATGAAGCACGCTGCCTTTGCCAAGGTGACCCAAGCAAGCTTTCACAATTCACGCCTTTGACAAAATCAGAACCCATGCTCGATACAAGTCTGAAATTTCAGGATCCATTACAAAAAAAAACTGACCTGACAGATATCCCTTACAAAAAAACCCTGAAATTTCAGGATATGCCAAAAACAAAACCCTCGCAAATCAGATCTGGTACCCCTCAACACCAGGGCCTACTTTTGGATTTTTACTACTCTGATATTGGGGAGTTGCATTTAGCATTACTCTGAAAATCAGAGTGCATCCTCATAGTTTCACTGATTTGCCAGGGTTTTTTTCCATTTTGAAAAATTTACACTGATAGTGCAGAGGGGAAATTTCCACAACTCTGTGCTGCTGTTATGCACCCCGACAAAGGTTTTGTGATAGACGGATAGACGTACGTTCCATTTCAAATACACATACATACATTAGTCACCATGCTCATCCTCGTCTCCCTCTGAGGCACTCTCACAAGAGCCACTATCCTCCTCTGACTCATCATGCTCCTTGCCCTTGGCAGCATCGCTGCTCCTCTCATAAGCCACCACTTTTGCCTGTCTGCGGTTCTTCTGGCGTCTCCAGATCTCCACGATCTCAGGGTAGTCCATGTCGTACTCCAGGAGGCTAATGGTCATCAGGTCGCCGAGTCTTGCATCACACAGGCTCGTCCTCAGCCAGCTCTTGACGGCGTTCTGCCTGCTGAAACCGCGCTCGCACTCGACGGTGCTCAAGGGCAGAACGGCCATCGCCTGCCAGATCCTCATGAGATTCGGATAGCTTTTGGCCCAGTCCCTCGTCTTCAGCATGTTGGCGAGGCCTTGGCCGAAGTCGTCATCAGCACGGTGCGTCTTCATGATGTGACAGAAAGTCTTTAACTCCAGCTCAGCTGCTCGACCATCCACTCCTGTGGAAGCGCTCGGGCGGGATTTGAGATTGAGATATGGAAAGCGAAAACATCGATTAAGAACTATGGTGGTGTTGCCACCATTATTTAAAACATGGATACTTGGATCTGCATATAGCGAGACGACATTGTGAGTGCTAGGGATACGTGCATGGAGGGACCGAAAACATACATACCAGGAAGCTTGTTGTCAAACAGCTCCAGGTTCGACTTGACCCAAGTGCGCGCTCTTCGTTCCCGCACGTCCTGCTTCTTCGGCCATGTGTCCACCTTGTACAGCTTCGACCCGGCCATCCGCTTCAGGTCCCACATCCTCTGGTTCAGGTTCTGCACGGTGTCTTCAGCAAAGGCGGTGCACAGCGTGATGCAGGCCGCCTTGGTGCCACCGTACTTGTGACCGGGCAGGGAGCTCTCCACGAGCTTGAAACTGTGCGAAACCGGGCGCCCGTCGTCATCCGCGCCGTGCACCACCACCTTTCCTCCATTCTCGTCATAGCTCTGCAGAAACTTGCTGAGCCGCTTGCTCAGCCCCGCGCCGAAGGTCTCGCCATACTCCACGTAGCGATGCTTGATGTACGTGACGGTGCGGTCGACCTCCTGCGAGACAAGGGTGATGTCGACCTGATGTGAGGGGGGGGTAATAAAAGCAGTGACAAGATGCGAAGAAGATAAGTTATTGTCGAAATTGAAGAAAGTCCACAATCCAACACATGACAACAGGCAACCGACGGCATGAAACACAGAGACCAACGGGATATGGGACAAAAACATACCGACCGCTTCTGGAAAAACCTGTTGAGCGTGTTGAGCTCAGCGAGGATGTCAGCCAGAAAGTATAAACAGAAGTGGAACTTCAGCATTTTGACCACTGGAACCAGCTTGTGGTTGTACTCAATGAGCACAGCGATTACAGCGCCGAGGACCCTGCAGAGTCGATTTACGGCATCTCCACGAGAAAGCCACCGGATGTTGAAGAGCCCTTGGTGCTCGAGGTTCGTGTTGTGGATGATCAGCTGGAGCTCCTTGAACCTCTCGTACCACGGTGTTGAACGCCCAACAATCTCGCCGAAGCCACGGATGACACTGTCGATGATCCAGAGGTCGGGGAAGGCGCTGGCCGCATCCTTCACTGCAAGGGCCTCACTGCGAGATACGAAGAATCATGCAAGGTCGAGCAAGTAGCATGGATAACAAATAGTCCGACATGCATTGCCTGCGAGGAAACGGACTCAATCCGTCGGAGCTGCAAGGGGGAAGACAAGTGTGGCTCAACCTGCATGAGCTCACCGATGTGCAATACAGTGACAGCCAACGAGATGCGGAATGCGCACCCGAAGACGCGCTACCAGACCGTTGTGCTCTCCTGTCATGACAGACGCCCCATCCGTGCTGATGCCCGCCACCTTGTGAAGTTCGATGCCGCAAGAATCTAGGTGCCCGAGTAATGCCGTCTGAAGAGCTGCTGCGTCGCACTTGTCGAGAGAAAGCAGCATCAGGAACTCTGTGACGACTCGCCGCTTCTTCAGGAACGTCGCGAAGACGATGAGATGTTTGCCACGGGTTCTGTCAGTTGACTCGTCGCAGCTCAATCCGATGAAGGGTGATGCGTGGATATGCTGCATCTGCTGTGCTTTCAAGTACGCCACCATTGCGCGCACCATTTCCTTGAAGCCGTATCTGCACTTGGAAGGGCATGGAAAAGCCGGAATTAACTCGATGATTGATACGACAGCGGAGCAGTCGCAATTTCACCAAGAAATAGTACCAAAAATCATGAGGCACCCCGGTACTTACTGCGTGATGTAGACGCCATAAGTCTGCTTCGGAATGTCCTCGACACCCTCCTCTGCCATGAACCCGACGAGCCGCGTGAACATGGCGATCGGGGCATCCTCCTTGCATATGAACAGCATAGTTCGAAGTAGACGAATGATCCTCGCGCCGTCAGGGTCGTGCTTCCCGAAGTCCTCCATTTTCTTCTGATTCTCGACCTCCTTCAGCAGCGCCTCTTGCTTCCTGACGGCGTTCTCGTGCCTTGTGCTCTCCTCATGCCAACGCATCGAGCCAATCTGGAGATCCCGTCCACCAGCACCGTTGCGCCCGTATCGTGCGTGGTCTTTGCCGTGCTCCATGCAGATACTGCAACGCAAGCAAGGTGCACCATCGTTAGTCTTATCCAGCACTAGCCAGGGGAATTTCGGTAACCAGTCGGCAGTGTACTTCCGTTGCGCAGCAAGATAGGCCTTCGCCATCTTCTCGGCGGGGGTTAAAGCAGCCGAAGGCAGTTGCTGTGGCACGGGCTCTGGCTCTGGTGGTGGCGGAGACTTAGGGGGAGGCGGCGCGAACGGGAGATAAGTCTGGTTGAAGCGACGCTTCTTTTCTGAGGCGGACGCAGGAGTTGAGGCAGGAGTTGATGCCGTTGATGTGGACGCTGGGGTTGATGCAGTGACAACAGGTACAACTGAAGGTTCGGCGACAGGACCTTCAGCGTCAACCATAGCCTCTAAATTTCTGTCCCATTCCTCACTACTGAGAGAAGGCAGAGGCTCTGGCGCAATTGGAGCGGTAGCAACTCGACGGAGAAAGTCGAGCCCGCTAAGAGGGAGCGATCTAGGAGTTCGAAGAAGGACAGACTCGTTGCCACCGCCATCGTCGGGCTCACTCGTGCCAGCCATGACGGCAGTGGCACGAGTGACGACGGGCGGCAGCGACGGCGAAGGTAAGCGAAGGTTTTCTTCTGCTAGGACGTTGTGAGAGAGAGATTTGGTGAAGGGGAGGAAGGGAAGGTTGAACAAGACGAGAGTTTCGTCTGCTCTTCTTGGGGGTGTGTGAATTGTGGGGTGCCTCGGAGTGGGTGAGGGAGTGACGTCGGTCGTGCATGCATGGATGGTGGCTAAAGTCGGCGTGCGGTGGTGAGGGAACTGCTGCCAGCCTTGCAGTGATGCTGCAGTCGTGACCAACCAGCGCGAAGGATGCTGCCAGCAGTGGCAAGGATGGCAGCATATGACGTGCCACTGCCTGGCGGTACGCGTAAAATGACGCGTATTGCGGGATATTGGGGCAAGGCCAGGTACAGGGTACAGGGGAAATCTATAGGTATACCCCCTGTACACTAACCCTCAGAGGGGTACAAATGGTTACTCTGATATAATCAGAGTAAAAAAAAACATCAATTTTTTTACTCAAGGCACTTAGAGTAGTTTTCAAAAACGACTCTGATTTTCAGAGAAACAGAGTAAATTACTCTGATAAAATAGGCCCTGCTCAACACCCTGTTTTTTTCCTGAATCAGGAAAATTTTCCTGACTTCTGGGGGCCTGTATGGAGTGGAGGATGCATGTCTTCTAAGCTGCTGCAGGTGCTGCTCAGCTAGGCTGACTACAGTATATTATGAAGACAGCTTGACTTGACAGACATTTACCATACACTAGACAATGCAATGGGAGACAACACAGAGACTGCAAGCAAGAGCAAGCATGATACCGTACTTCTACCGTAACCGCAAATCTCAACGAGGATGACTATCGCGAGGAACAATGAGCAGGAGCAGCAGCACCACCGCTGCTAGAGAGAGCCTGTGGGGTGGAAGGAGATACGGTAGGTAACCGTATCGGCACTACACTACCAGTACAGTAGAATTGGCGACATATATCCTGGAATGAACTTGTGCCTCGGGCTGGGTGGGTGGGTCGGTGTGGTAAGTTTCGGTTTGGCCGGATGCTGCTGCTACAGCCTACCAGTATGAACTTGCCTCCAATCCAACCAGACCCGTCACCCGACCCTGATGCGGCATCAAGCGAAGGGAGAGCAATGCGGTAAGGGTCGCGTCGCGTGGCTGCGTATTCTGCGGAGGTGCGAAGCGAAGCCTCTTGTGCAGAGGGGTCAGGGGCGAGGCGAGACTGACAGGGAGGAAAGGCGAGGAAGGGCGAGATGGAAGATGGTCGAATGGTAGACCTGGGGTAGTCAGAGAAGGGACAGATGGATGGATGGATCGATCCATCGATCGATAGATAGAAGTCGTGATGGGAGAAGGGGAGGTGAGCTGACTCCAACTCATGTGTGAGCCGAGGAAGAAGGCTGAACTCCACCCACCACCTCCCTGCTTCTCAGGAGGCGATGCAGCTGGGAAGGGAGGATCCCAAGAACTGGAACAGCAGCAAAGCAACAAGGCGAGTTCATTGCAGGAGGCAGAGGAGGCGGTCCTTGATGAGGTCTCTCTCACTGCCGCTGCCAAACACCTCTGGCGCCACCTCCAACGCCAGCAGCAGCAGCTCGACTGACACCGTCACCTTCGGAGGCCTGCTGCTGCCCCTGCTCCTGCCGCCGCCGCCATCGCCGCCACCTCCGCTGCTGCAACTGCCCAGTCCTTTTGTGCCCACTAGATGCCGCTGCCGCCGCCGCTTCTGCTGGTGCTGCTGCTGGTGCTGTTGCTGCTGGCGCCGTTGCTGCTGCTCTAGTTCGGCGAGACTCTGAGGTAGATTGTGGGGCCATTGGTCCTGTTTCCAACCCTGCTGCTGCTGCTGCTGCTGCTGCTGAAACTGAAGCTGTGCCTGAGCCTGCCCTGTGAATCCATGCAAGTTCCCATTCTGCTGCTGCTGCTGCTGCTGGTTCATATGTGCACCATCCATACCGACTCCTGTCCGCCCTTTCCCCTGCACTTGCTGCCACTGCAGCTGCTGCCACGACTGCTGGTTCTGCTGCTGCCAGCCAGCCATCGAACCCCCATGCTGATCTCTTTCTCCATCCTCCCCTCCTGCTCTCTCCTCCTCCTCGTCATCTTCTGCATCCTCCTCCTCATCCCCTTCTTCTCCCTCCTCCTCTTCCCCCTCCTCCTCCTCCCCCTCCTCCTCCTCTTCCTCCTCCCCATCCTCCTCCTCCTCATCCTCCTCGTCCTCCTCCTCTCCCCTCCGCACCGCTCCCCCCTCTGCGTCCTCCTCATCCTCTTCCTCCTCTCCTTCATCCTCCTCCTCATCCTCCTCCTCCTCTTCTGATACCTCCTGCTCCCCCTCCCCCTCCACCCCATCACCACCACAATCATCTTCCTCTTCTTCTTCTTCCTCCTCCTCCTCCTCCTCCTCCTCCTCCACTTCCGCCTCCCACCCCCCCACTCCCGAATACCTCTCTCTTTGCAGCCCCCTCCGCGCCCCCCTCCCTTTCCCCTCGTGCCGCATCCCCATACTTGCCCCCAATACCCCACTGTCTACCGCGCTTCTCCCTAGCATCGCCAGCCCCAGGGGGCAGAGGGAGGGTGAGGAAAAAAGCAGGGGCGCAGGGGGGCCGAGAGGGCCATACCCGAAGGAGGTAGGGTTCACTCCAGACAGATCCCCCAGATGTAAACTCGAGAGCCCGATCCCCACATTCGCCTCTCCTCCCTCCCTCGCTCGCCCCATTCCTCCTCCTCCCCCTCCCCCCTCCTCCCCTCCACCCACTCCTCTCCTATCCACCGCACCACCAGCGGCCGCATTGGTGCGTGCAAGCAGAGCCAGAGGCGGCGGGGGCAGCATCTCCCCACCGCTCTTCCCCCTCCCCACTCCTACCCCGCCCCTGCTGCTGCTGCAGGTGCCAGCAGCAATGGCAGCAGCAGCAGCAGCCGCCGAGCGGCCGACAGCAGCGCACGACCGAATAATGTTCGTGAGGTGCAGCGCTAGAGCCGCTTGCACCACCTCTGCTGCCTCTGCGCTCACTCCTCCCGCCAGCCCGCCCTCCCTCATCGCCACCTGCCGCATCCGCACCTGCAGCGCCTCACTCGTTGGCAAACAACCCCCCGATCCTCTCCCTCCAGTACCCCTCCCCCGTCCGCCTTTCCTCCCCCCTCCCCCTTCTCCACCTCCCAAATGTGACGCGAGAGACTCTGCAACTGCACCACCACCGCCAGCAGCAGCAGCAGCGGCGGATTGGCGAAGAGGCCAATTGGCGGAGTCTAAGGGGCAGCCGAGCAGCGTGTGAGTGAGGGGCATGCCGGGAGGGGGGCGGGGGGCCACAGGCACGGCGGCTCCCCCCCTGCTGGAGGCGAGGAAGGGTATTCCCAGCGGCGCGGACAGAGGCACGGATAGAAACGCGTCCATCGCCGCTTTCTGCCTTGCCTCCGTCTCTCGGCTGATCTCTGGCGCTCCTCCCATGCTCCCTGCTGCTGCTGCTGCTGCTGCTGCTGCTGCTGCTGCTGCCGCTGCTGCTGCTCCTGCTGGTGTCCCTTTCCCGTCCTCTCCCTCCGCCTCCTCCTCGCCTCTGCAGTGTGTCTCCTCCCACTCCCCCCCCTCGCCCACCTCTCGCTTCACCCCATCCCCCGCCATTCCTGCGCCACCTGCGCCACCTGCGCCCCATCCCCGACCCACGGGTATCCCTAGCAGCTCCGCCTGCTCTTCCCCCATCCAGGCTTGGGCCAAGCACACAGGGGGCGGCGGAACCACCACTGACGGTGGCGGGGGGGGCGGCTTGCTCTTTCCGCCCGCCATTGCACGCCGATCCCCCGGTTGTTCCCCCTGTTGCTCCCCCCGCACAGGCCACAATCCCGCAGCCCCGCCTGATGCTCCGCCGCCCCAGTCCCCTTCCCCGTCCGCGGGCAGAGCCCAGTCCCCCTCCTCCATCCCTTCTCCCCTGTTGCTCTCCCCGCCCGCCCCGTCTAGACGCGCGGATCTTCCGCCAGCTCCCGCGCGCCCCCCCTTGAGTCGTTTCCAGGGGCGTCCAGACACATCCGCAGCCCCCTCGTGCGCATCCCCGCCTGCGCCGTTGATGCGCGCATCCGCGGAAGCCATGCGCGCGCCAGCCATTCCCGCAGGCGGCGCCGACGCCGCTCCCGCGCCAGCAGCGGCTGCAGCCAGAGCGGCCGGCGAGGAAGGGTCGATATACTCGTTAAAAGAAGCATCGTCAGCAGCAGCTGCAGCAGCAGCAGGGCTCGCGGGAATGCTCCCATCCGACGTCCGTCCGTAAATTCTCTTTCTAAGACCACCGTCGGATCCTGCTGCGCTCGAATCGGCGCCACCAGCGCCACCAGCGCCAGGGGTAGCGGCGGCGGCGGCGGCGGCGGCTGCTGCAGCAGCAGCGGCGGCGGCTTGTTTCCGATCCCGCGCTGCAAGACTCCGCTGACGCTTGGGGGAAGGCTGCGCGGGTGTCTCGTATCCGTTCTCCTGCTGCATACCCGCCGCGTCTTGCGCGAATGGTGAGGACGACGGGTCAAAACCCGCCAGCGGCGGAAGAGCGCCCTCAAACCCGCCACTGCCCATCCCGCCAGCGCCTGCACCGCCTCCGCCGCCGGCGCCTTCCGCCTGCTCCGCCATCCCCGCAGCCCAGGCGCTGGCGGCATTCGCGGCGGCGGCGTCCGCGCGCGTGGCGTTTGGGGGCGGGGCGTCGCTGGCGCAGGCGGAAGCGAAGACGGCGCGGACGAACGAGTTGTGCAGGAAGACGTTCTCGGAGCCGAGAGTTGCGGGGACGAGGCGGTCGAGCTCGCGCTTCGACAGGCGCATGTTGAGGTACTCGCGCAACAGCTCCAGGTACTGCGCCTCGCGCATCGGCCCCACCGCCATGCAGAGCGCGTGCTGCACCTCCGCCAGGTTGACACGTGGCAGCGTCTTCGCCATGTCGGCACGCGGCGGGACGGGACGAAACGGGACGGGACGCGTGCGTGAGTGCGATCGGAGCGGTCGGAGCGATCGTGGCAGGTAATGGTCGTTTGATCGCGGTGCTACGATGATTGAGGCGACGTGGGTTGACCCGAGTAGAGGGCGCGTGAAAACTGGACCTTGGCCCAGAGCTAGCGAGCAGACCCCACAAGGCGAAGGGGTGGCGGAAATTCGGCGCCGTCCGTCCGTTCGTCCGCAAATCGCGCAATACCGCTCCGCAATGTCGCGCAATTAAGCGGCAAAGCGCGACGTTTCCGGCGCGGAATTGGGAAGAAGAAGCGCGCAAGCGACGAAAGAGTCGACTCCAGCGACGTGCTTTTCCTCGGCGGCTGGGCGGCTGCTGCAATAGCGACGACGGCGCACCGCGACAAATGCCGAGAGGCAGAAATAGGCGGGGAGTCGGAGTCGTCGATGCTGCTGCTGCGCGGACGGCGCGCGACACTCACTCCTCAATGCGATGCGCGCTTTCACACCGCGTTTGCGCGACGATTTCAGTCCCGAATGCGGCGGCCGCGACCAATCTTAGGCACAACTTGACTTCCTTCACAAATGATCACGGACTGGTCCGCTGTTCCACGAGGCCAGCGCAGCTGGCTGGAAGCGACGCAGCGACGCAGCGACGCAACGACCAGCGCTTGGCGGGAACGCGAACGAGCCAGGTAGACGGGCAGGCAGGCGCGCGCTGAGCGGGCTTCTTGTGAAGTCGAGGACGCCTCGAAGGTCCCGATGGCCGACGCGTGCGCAAGGAAAAAGGCGCGGGGGAGCCGCGAAATGCGTTAAAGAGAGGTATGGAACGGATCGATTGCGAGACGACAAGAGGCGCCTAAGGCGGTTCAGTGATGCCGTTTACTGCGGGGGAATAGGAGCGGCAGACATGGCGGGAACGATCCGTGCTCCGCAGCCAGCAGCAAACCCTAAGCCGAGCTTGCAGGGCGGACGGGAAGGAGAGGGAGGAGAGGGAGGAGTGAGAGCAGGTGAAAGCCAAGCTAGGATAAACCAAGTGTACGTTTCAGTGTAAACAAAGTTTATGCTGAAAAAAACAATTCAAAAAACAAACTTTGAGCCACAAAACTGCATTCCTAGACGTTCTTTCTAGGCCAGAAAATGAAACAAAATAAACAAACCAATTAGACTATAACGAATCTAAAAGGCTAAGGGATTCTACACCTCCCATTGGTAGATAGGAGATCGGAGGAGCTGCTGCAGCAGCACCCATCACACCAAAACCACCCATGAAACCGGCTCCTCGACTTGTAGCAGGCAAAGACGAGGTTCTTGCTATCACCGATGGGTGTGAGAGTGCATGCGAGTCCACTGGGGCCGGCAACCACGAGCACACTGACGAGCTAGGAACCCCAGTTGCTGCCGCAACAAAACCTCTGCTGCTGCTGACTTGGTTGGACCTGCTGCTTGTACCGAAGCTGACTGTCAAGGAGCCTGGTGTTACCATAGCATCCATGGCAGATGGGTTGGGGGAGATGGGTGGCGCTGCCACAGGCGACAGCAGCGACATTCCCAATGGTGAGTACGGATACGGGATTGAAGGGGACAAGGGCTGCACTGCGCAGAGCGCGGCTGGGACTGGTGGGACCTGGCACGAGAGGGAGGAGAAAGACGATGGGACTGATGAGATGCACAAGGAGGAGGAGGCAGAGAAGGATGAGGACAAAGAGAAAGTGGAGGAGGACGATGACGGGCGGGACAGTGAGGAGGGGCGAGAGGTTGAGGAGGAGGAGGATGGACGCGAGGATGCGGAGCGGGGCGAGAGCAAAGGCGAGCTGCTGCTGCTGCTGCTGAGTGGCTTGGTGGCACTACCCCCAGCTCTGCCGCCTGCTCTGTCACCTACCCTGTCACCTGCGCTGTCACCTGCTCTGTTGGTGAGTGCTTGCAGCAGAGGCCGCACGTACTTCTCTGTGCGTGGCATGCCGCAGCACGCCAGCTGCACGAGCAGGGGAATGAACTTGCTGTCCTGGGTACACCTCGTCATGGCCGTCACTAGATCCTCCTCCTCCTCCTCCTCCTCCCCCTTCTGCTGTTTCAGCTGGTTCTGCTGGGTCTGGCTTCGCTGCTGCTGCTGTGCATGGTGCTGCTCCTCGCCCTGCTGCTGCTGCTGCTGCTGCTGCTGCCGCTGCTGTCCCTGGGCCTGCTGCATGTGCTCCGATCGAGCAGCATCGTGCACAAAGAGCTCAGAGAGGATAACGATGGCGTCCTCGCGGGTGCGTGGAGACCCGCACTGCACCAGCTGCACCAGAACAGGCAGCCGCGGGGCAATGGCTGCCGCGACTGCCCGCACGCCTGCGCTGTCCTTCACCAGGTTCGCCAGCACAGCCAGGCACTTGCCCTCCATGCCGTCGCCGCCGCCACCCGCTTCCTCTCCGTTATCTCCACTCGCACTATTACTACTACCAGCACTACAGCTCCCTCCTCCTCCCCCTCCTCCGCCTCCTCCGCCTCCTTCTCCCACAGCCCTGCTCTCAGCCCGGTTCTCACTGCTGCTCGTGCTCCTTCCTACCTTCTCCTGAACCTGCACTCCCTGCGCGGGTCTCTCCTGCAGTGTCAGGAGCAAGAGCAGCAGGTCAACAGCGCCTGCGCGCACCATGTCGGCAGCGCACCGTGCGTTGCGCGACAGGTGGAACAGAGCCAGCGCCGAGTCCTTGCGCGCGCGCAGGCTGCCGTCCACCAGCAGCCGCACCAGAGGGGGAATGGCGCCTGCTGCGCGCACCAGCTCCCGGTGCCCCTCGGTGCCAGACAGCACGAAGAGAGCCGCGGCGGTGTTGGCCTTGCTGGTGGCTAGTGACTGCTGCGCCTCAGGGCTCATAAGCGGATCCTCCGGAAGCAATCCCGCTCCCTCGCCTGCACTGCTACTCACGCCGCCAGTCAGCTGTAGCAGCTCACGATCTCCAGTGCCCCGACTACTTCTTCTGCTGCTGCTGGTGGCGGTATTGTCTGTGCTGGTATTCTCACGGCTAGCAGTGGGGTGCCGGTGCCGGTGCAGGTGCAGGTGCAGCACGCGGGCAAGCAAGGGGATGCCACCGGTGGCTGCGATGGCCTTGCTGATGCCGGGCACCAGGGACATGTTGAGCAGCGCCGTCACACAGTGCTCCACGCTGCGCAACAGCAGCAGCAGCACCGGCAGCGGCGGCAGCGGCAGCGGCAGCGGCCGCGGCAGCACAGACTGGTCCTCTGCCCTCTCAGCGTGCTCCCTTCCCCCGGCTACCTCCTGCCTTCCCATCTTGGCCCATATCAGCTGCTGCGGCTGCCCCTGCGGCTGCCCCTGCGGCTGCCCCTGCGGCTGCCCCTGCGGCTGCCCCTGCTGCTGTCCCTGCGGCTGCCCCTGCTGCAGCCCCTGCGGCTGCCCCTGCTGCAGCCCCTGCTGCTGCCCCTGCTGCTGCCTCTGCTGCTGCCCCTGCTGTCCCGGCTGCAGCAGCGGAGGGTGGGAGGGCTGCTGCAGAGCCGCGAGCTGGTCCAGCAGCTGGGCGAGCAGCGTCACGAGAGCCGCCACCCCTCCGGCGGCAATGAACGCCTCCTTGTTGCTGCGGCTGTTGCGCAGGGCCACGCGCACCGCCTCCGCTGCCCGCGCCCGCTGGGGGAGCAGCGCAGGGGGGAGAGTCAGCGCGCGCACCAGAGCTCTCATGCTGCCGGGCGCTTCTGCGCCAGAAGCAGCCCTGCTGCTGCTGCTGCTGCCGGTGCCGCTGCTGGTGGTGCTGCTGCTCATGGTGCTGTGGGCGTCGGTGCTTGGAGGGAAGACAGCAAGTGTTGCCATGGCGGCGGGGGTAGTGGCGGCAGTGGTGGCTGCAGTGGCTACAGCGGACGGGGCTCTAAAGCTGCTGCTGCTAGAGCTACTGCAACTGGCGCTGCTGCTGCTGCTGCTGCTGCTGCTGCTGTACGCGTTACTACCACTCTGGCAGCTGCTGCTATAGTCAACACCACTGCGGCTGGCAGTACCGCCCGAGCTGCTACCATTGGCTATCTTGAATCCGGACCACAGCTGTGGTAGGGAAGAGCCGCGGACGATTGGCTTGAGACTAGACTTTAGGCCGCTCCCAAGCCTGCGCAGGCCCTTACTACTACTACTGCTACTGCTACTGCTACTGCTACTGTTAGTACTAACACCTGACAGCGCAATCTCCAAGCCTCCGATCTTCTCCTGCTCCTGCCGCCGCCGCCGCAGCTGCTGCTCTTGCTGCTGCTGCCTCTGGCTCTGCGTCGGAAGTCGACCCTGTTGCTGTTGCTGTTGCTGTTGCTGTTGCTGTTGCCTCTGCCTCTGCTGCCTCCCCATAATAATCTTGTACCTAATCACATCCGGCTCCTCCTCCCTTTCCCCCTCCTCTCCTTCCTCACCCTCCTCCTTCTCTCTCCTCTCCTGCTGCTCCTCGCACCTCCACTCCTCCACACCGCATTGCACCTCCTCCAGCAACCTTCCCGAGGGGTAGGGAAGCCAAAGCCGCTCCCCGCCTGCCCCCGCGCCGACTCGTCTTCCGCCCGCATCTTGCGCGTACTCGCTGTCGCAGTCGGCCTCCGCCACTCCCCGCATTCCCCTACCCAGGACAGCCCCACCCTCCGCGCTGCTTGCAGCCGCGGAGCACCATCCGTCGCCTCTACGGATCCCGATGCCTTGCACCCTACCGCAAGCCCCCTCACACACTACACCGGTGCTGCCAACGCCAACGCCAACGCCATCGCCGCCGCAGCAGCAGCCTCTTCTGCCGTTGATGCTGCTGCTACGACCGCAGCAATGCGCGGCGGCCGTTGCCGTGCCAACAGCGGGACCCGTGCAGCAAGGCGCGCGCCGGCCCGTAACCCCAGCGCTACCACCACTATTACAAGAAACGCTATGAGCAGCGCTATGGTTAGCACTATGAGCAGAGCTACGAGCAGCCTCAAGAGGCGGCTGCAGCCGTCTGCTGCTACCCGCGGATCTGGGTCGGCCTCCCATGGCGCTGCAAGCTCTACTCGCGCTGCTCCTGCTCCTGCTGCTCTCACTCTCGCTCGCGCTCGCGCTCGCGCTACTCGCGCTGCCCCCGCTCCTCTCCCTCCTCTCCTGAAGCGCTAGCCACGAGTTGCCGTCGCCCACTACCGCTGCTGCTTTCGCGGAAGCGATTTCCATGGGATCCGCCCATGAGACGCTCCGCCGAACGCGGAAAGCGTTCTCCGTGGGGTCTACGCGGCTGTTGTTGACCGTTGCTTTCGACGGATCGCTAGGCGGCTCCTGCCGGCCGAAAGCACGGCCCAGTTTACCGTACGCCATTGCCGCGTTTCGCGGCGACAGGGACGGCAGAGAGGTGGGTCCCAGGTCGGCCGGTTTCCAGACGATCTCTCCGCCGCGCTTACTGCCTACGGTCGCACCGTCTGTCGCATCTTCAGCTGCGGCGTCGTAGCCAGTCGCATGGCCAGTCGCATTGTCAGTCGCAGCGTGAGTCGCATTGTAACCGTCGTCAGCCCCGTCGTCAGTCCCGTCATCGGAGTATGTCTGGCTGCGTGGCTCCGGTTGCAGTAACGGCATGACCGCCATAGCCGAGGGACTACAGGATAGAAGCTCCGCAACCGCAGCATAGCTGCTGCTCCGCTTTAAGTGGCGCGGCTTGGAGGCCGTTGATAGCGATCGGAGCAGGAACGAGGAGGGGAGAAATGAGCGCCGGGACGCATCGGCGCCCCGCCTGGCCTCTGCACCGACCATAAAGGTGACCCACGTGGAGGGAACAGAAGAGACGATCGCTTCGCGAAACGCCGCCGGTCAATATTGCGGAAGAAGAACACGAGGAAATGGAAGAGGAAGAAGAGGGGGAAAAGGACCCCGTCGGTAGAATTCTTACTCCTCCGGCCAGCTCGATATCTCTCTTCCCGATACGATTCTCCCTAACTCCACAGGGTTCCGTGGAATAAAGCTAAGCGTTGTAGACTTGCTAGCTTGCGTGGTCTGCATGGCTGCTCTTTCCTGCCTGTGCCCAAGCACTCCCTGCTCGGCTCCATACATACATATGCCTGAATGACACACCGTTGAGCAGTGGAGAGGAGATGTACGAAGAGCAAGCTGGAGAAACAAGCTGCAGAGGAAGCGGGAGCAGACACAGTAGAGTCGAGAGTACTGTACCCCGCAACCCCACCATCTCACTCATTTGGGGCGCATTCTGGAGCTCGTGTCTGACACTAGTATCATACGGGAACACCCGAGGTAGAAAAATATTGCCTCGGGTCTAACGACTTCTGACGGCTGCTTGAATGGAAAGACACCGTTCGCATACAAACCGACCGAACTAGAAGAGGCGTAGTGCGTCGTCCGCCAATGTACACCTCCCAATTCGCTTTGCGACAAGTCTGTGCGGTTTTCTGTACATCGTCAATTCGTTTTGCGACTTTCTGCACCTCTGTAGGCGCGCTTCCGTCAAAGTCACTAGACCCAAGGTTGAGCCTCTAAACCCCGCGGCTTCTTCGATTGCGGGTCAACCTCGGGTCAGATCCACGGTGCAGAATCCACTCTTACTCTTTGTTGGGCTCTCTAGCCTCTGCCTTGCTCAAGAGCCAGGTTTGGGAAAAGTTAGTGGCTCTAGTTTGTTTGATCAGGTCTGTCTGTCTGGTCATTACGTGGCTGGGGAAGTGTGCCCTGCCCACCGAAATGTTTTGGCAACCATCTGAAATGTTTGGGTGTGCCCCACAATGCCTTGTAATCTCTCCAACCGTTTGCGTTGAGGTGATGGTTGGCCAGAACGAGGAAAGTCATCTTGCCACCTAGCTGCACGATACTTTTTTTCCAGCCCTGCATCTCATACAGTGGTACTAAACGCCCAGAGCGTCGGGTTTCTCTCGTGTCTCCTACAAAACCAAGCAATCTGGCTTGTGTGGGGTGGTTATCACGACGCAGGTGCCAGCAGGGGAAGTGAGAATCTCAAGCCGGATGATATTCTAACGAAATATGCTGTCCGAACCGAAGATGCTCGGGCAAGGCCTACGCTTGAAGGGCAGAGACCCCAAATGTTGGGTGATTGGCAGTTTACATTCGAAATCGCCAGCGGTATGCACTGTACAGTTCTACATTTTTGGGTTGCGTAGCAAGCAGCCCTTAAAATCGGTCGGTGCACTAGTGGTGCATTGCTGATTTGCTAATCTGCCTAATAACCTATGCGATAAATTCTTTTAAGGGTAATACAATGCTTACCCATGTTCTTTTCCTATGGTGAATATTTCCTATATGATATTTATTGGTTGCTTATTTGTTGGTTCTCTATATATTTTCCCCTCGTATATACATTTTATTGCGGAAGTCACAATTCTGCACAAGAACTACCGCGCCGCATCTACATCGGTTTGGGAGCAGGGCTGGCGTTTTTTAAAAAAAAGTACTCTGATTTCACCCCCCAAAAAAATTCCCAAGTCGGAGGGGCCATTTTTAAAAAAATCCCTAGTCTGAAATCTTAGTATCCAAAAATCGACTGGTCTGAAGTTATCAGGGTTCTGAATGTCCATTCAGGGTCCACGCGCCTAAGTCGAAGTCTCGTTTTTCATAGGTCAGATGCAACTTGATAGCTTTGCAAGCGTTAGTAGTAGAGAGCTCGTTGTGTCCGAGCCGGTGAAAAACATGAGCCGTAGAATGACGTGAGGTTTTAGGGCTAGAAAAGTTACGGGAGGAAAGAGATCGAGAATAGAAGAGAGAGGGATACAAGGAGGGGGGTTGTACCCTCTACTGTAGCTTTCATTAACACCTACTAAGCCTACCAATTATATATCAAAGATATAATTTAACACACCCTCTAGGCTTGGTAGCTGAAAGCACACCAGACACGGAACACTAAGCCACACATACCCCCTAAATCTAGCACCCCCATACTCAGTAGCAGCGACGGCTACACCATCCCGGTCAACCCCTCGGCGCGTGAGGCGGCGACGTCGACAGCAAGGGCTACGGCGGCGACAGCGGCAGCGTCGAGAGCGGCGGCAGTGGCGGCGTGGCCCCAACGCAAGCGGCGACAGCGGCGGCTTCGACAACAGCGACGGCGGCGCGGCGGGGCTCGCAGCACTCGGCGACGTGGCCGGGCTCCGCGACGGTGGGATGGCCAGAAGGAGTCAGCCATCGGCTGCGGCAAGGAAGAGGAGACGCAGGGAAAGGGGGCAGGGCTTCTGCAATACGCCCGTGGCTGGCGTGCGGGCGTCAGGA